ACTTGGTTGGGTTCGTTCGGTCTGGTGTGAACACTCTATCCGCACTCGGGAGTGCCCTAAACAACATACCGTGGTTCACTCAAAAAGGGTGGTCTCGGTCCGATTTCATTCGTACCATGGTGCGGTTCGCTGCAGGTGAGAACACAGTCCGGACCAAACACAGGAAAAGAACCAGAAGCGTGCAGTATTATTGGTTGTTTGACTGTGAGCATTTGATGAAATGCACGCAGTACCATAACCTGTTATCTTTAAAACATTCTGTGAGTAGCAGAGCATTTCTGAGTGCATCCGATGCAGATGAAGGGAGACAGTGCTATACCGGGTATATAGGGAGAATCTCAATTACATACTACTCTGTCCTCTCGCCTCGTCTCCTTTTCCAAACCCATTGGAGGAGAAAGTCAGAGGGGAGGGACCTCTAGCGTTCTTCTCAAATGGGGTTTGAGAAGGAGACGAGGAGAGAGGACGTGAGGAATATGCAATTGAGATTCCCCCATAGGCTACTGAATATAGTCTATTCACGTGGCAGTTAGAGAGGCTATTTCCCTGTTTCCTCCCTCATGTTGTTGGAAGAGCAAAGCCAAAGTAATATGATGTTTGGGACACACAAGTCATGCTTTTTGATAATCATAGATGGATTCATCTTTCTCCAATAAATAAATGACTTACATGACCATGTGGTTTTGTTTAGGCATTTTAGTTAGTTTGACATTCGGCAATGTGAAACCAACAGGACCAAAACATTTTATAAAAATACAATGTAACAGATGATCAAATTCTGATTTGAACTGTAGCTCAGAACGAGGTGTGAAAACACCCTTATTGTCTTCAGCCTCTGGGGTGTGTGAGAGTGAGCAGAAGGTTAAACCTCGCTGTCTTGGTTCTGCTCTTCCCAGGGGTGCTTTGTGGGAAAACCATCAGGAGAATTCAAACTGTAACTCGCTTTTTATCTAATTGTTTAAAATCCTTGTGAAGGAGACATTTTGTTAAGGTTGACAGTAGTGTGGGATGCAGTGTGTGGTTGTCCTCTACACACTGACTCACTCCACCTTCATCCTATTCCTCCTCTACTGTGGTTGTATCACTACAGCTTGGTTAGCACATGTACATAATTGAGTTAACATCCCCCCCCCCCCCCAAAAAAAAAGACTGTTTTTGCCTCATGATGTTTTAGTGGACATAAATTATTTAGAACCCATTGTGTTCGCCCCAGTTATGTCAAATACAACTCAACATTCTTGCGTTTTCTGCCACTCAGAATTGTTCTTAAGATGTCTCGGCGACAAATGTGTTGGCACGTCAGCAATAACCAAGAGCTTCTATCACATGGTGTATAATTAAACAGTAGTTGAAGGTACAAGTGCAGACAGCATGTCCAGTCCACTACGGCAACATGTAATATTCATTATCTTCTATGTCTTTAAAAATACATTATTTACACTCAACTGTGGGAATATGGGATAATGCAGAAATGCTGGTGTAGTGTGTGAACCCAACTTGACATGCCTTGAAATTGTTCTCAATGATCGATAGTGACTGAACAATGATTGGGATATAGTAGTGAAGTGCATAGTTTTTCTTCATCTCTGTCTTTTTTGTCAAGTAATGATATTTCAGTGTTGTACTCTAACATACTGTTTGGGTGCCTGTTAGGTTGGGCCTTGGAATAGTCCCACGGCTTTTCTGTATTCAGACAGTGCTTTTGAAGAGTTTATTTAATAAATGCTATACACTATACAGTGCCTTCAGAAAGTAGTCACACCCCCTTACTTTTTCCACATTTTGTATGAGATTGTGTGTCACTGGCCTACACAAAATACCCCGTAATGTCAAAGTGGAATTAGGTTTTTTGAAATGTTTACAAATTAATTAAAAATGGAATGCTGAAATGACTTCAGTCAATAAGTATTCAACCCCTTTGTTATGGCAAGCCTAAATAAGTTCAGGAGTAAAAAAGTTGCTTAACAAGTCGCATAAGTTGTATGGAATCACTCTGTGTGCAATAATAGTGTTTAACATGGTTTTTGAATGACTACCTCATCTCTGTACCCCACACATACAGTGGGGAGAACAAGTATTTGATACACTGCCGATTTTGCAGGTTTTCCTACTTACAAAGCATGTAGAGGTCTGTAATTTTTATCATAGGTACACATGAACTGTGAGAGATGGAATCTAAAACAAAAATCCAGAAAATCACATTGTATGATTTTTAAGTAATTCATTTGCATTTTATCGCATGACATAAGTATTTGATACATCAGAAAAGCAGAACTTAATATTTGGTACAGAAACCTTTGTTTGCAATTACAGAGATCACACATTTCCTGTAGGACCTGACCAGGTTTGCACACACTGCAGCAGGGATTTTGTCCCACTCCTCCATACAGACCTTCTCCAGATCCTTCAGGTTTCGGGGCTGTCGCTGGGCAATACGGACTTTCAGCTCCCTCCAAAGATTTTCTATTGGGTTCAGGTCAGGAGACTGGCTATGCCACTCCAGGACCTTGAGATGCTTCTTACGGAGCCACTCCTTAGTTGCCCTGGCTGTGTGTTTCGGGTCGTTGTCATGCTGGAAGAACCAGCCACGACCCATCTTCAATGCTCTTACTGAGGGAAGGAGGTTGTTGGCCAAGATCTCGCGATACATGGCCCCATCCATCCTCCCCTCAATACGGTGCAGTTGTCCTGTCCCCTTTGCAGAAAAACATCCCCAAAGAATGATGTTTCCACCTCCATGCTTCACGGTTGGGATAGTGTTCTTGGGGTTGTACTCATCCTTCTTCTTCCTCCAAACACGGCGAGTGGAGTTTAGACCAAAAAGCTCTATTTTTGTCTCATCAGACCACATGACCTTCCCCCATTCCTCCTCTGGATCATCCAGATGGTCATTGGCAAACTTCAGACGGGCCTGGACATGCGCTGGCTTGAGCAGGGGGACCTTGCGTGCGCTGCAGGATTTTAATCCATGACGGCATAGTGTGTTACTAATGGTTTTCTTTTAGAATGTGGTCCCAGCTCTCTTCAGGTCATTGACCAGGTCCTGCTGTGTAGTTCTGGGCTGATCCCTCATCTTCCTCATGATCATTGATGCCCCATGAGGTGAGATCTTGCATGGAGCCCCAGACCAAGGGTGATTGACCGTCATCTTGAACTTCTTCCATTTTCTAATAATTGCGCCAACAGTTGTTGCCTTCTCACCAAGCTGCTTGCCTATTGTCCTGTAGCCCATCCCAGCCTTGTGCAGGTCTACAATTTTATCCCTGATGTCCTTACACAGCTCTCTGGTCTTGGCCATTGTGGAGAGGTTGGAGTCTGTTTGATTGAGTGTGTGGACAGGTGTCTTTTATACAGGTAACGAGTTCAAACCGGTGCAGTTAATACAGTTAATGAGTGGAGAACAGGAGGGCTTCTTAAAGAAAAACTAACAGGTCTGTGAGAGCTGGAATTCTTACTTGTTGGTAGGTGATCAAATACTTATGTCATGCAATAAAATGCAAATTAATTACTTAAAAATCATACAATGTGATATTCTGGATTTTTTTTTTTTTTAGATTCCGTCTCTCACAGTTGAAGTGTACCTATGATAAAAATTACAGACCTCTACATGCTTTGTAAGTAGGAAAACCTGCAAAATCGGCGGTGTATCAAATACTTGTTCTCCCCACTGTATATGTTAGGTCCCTCAGTCAAGCAGTGAATTTCAAACACAGATCCAACCACAAAGACCATGGAGGTTTTCCAATGCCTCGCAAAGAAGGGCACCTATTGGTAGATGGGTCAAAATAAAAAAAGCATACAGTACATTGAATATCCCTTTGAGTCACCATTACACTTTGGATGGTGTATCAATACACCCAGTCACCACAAAGATACAGGTGTCCTTCCTAACTCAGTTGCCGGAGAGGAAGGAAACCGCTCAGGGATTTCACCATGAGGCCAATGGTGACTTTAAAATAGTTACAGTGTTTAATGGCTGTGATAGGAAAAAACTGAGGATGGATCAACAACATTGTAGTTACTCCACAATACTAACCTAATTGACAGAGTGAAAAGAAGGAAGCCTGTACAGAATAAAAATATTCCAAAACATGCATCCTGTTTGTAATAAGTCACTAAAGTAAAACTGCAAAAAATGTGGCAAAGAAATTAACTTCATGTCCTGAATACAAAGCATTATGTTTGGGGCAAATCCAACTACCACTCTTCATATTTTCAAGCATGGTGGTGGTTGCATCATGTTATGGGTATGCATGTAATCGGCAAGGGAATGTTTTAGGATACAAATTAACAGAATATAGCTAAGCACAGGCAAAATCCTAGAGGAAAACCTGGTTCAGTCTGCTTTCCAACAGACAATGGGAGAATAATTCACCTTTCAGCAGGACAATAACCTAAAACACAAGGCCAAATCTACACTGGAGCTGATTACCAAGACAACATTGAATGTTCCTGAGTGGCCTAGTTACAGTTTTGACTTAAATCGGACTGAACATGTATGGCAAAACTTGGAAAGGGCTGTCTAGCAATGATCAACAACCAATTATTAAAAGAGTAATGTGCAAATATTGTACAATCCAGGTGTCTGGGTAAGCTCTTAGAGACTTTCCCAGAAAGACTCACAGCTGTAATCGCTGCCAAAGGTGATTCTAACATGTATTGAATATATTAAGTGAATATTTCTGTATTTAATTTTCCAAAAAATAAAAAATACATGTTTTCACTTTATGGGGTATTGTGTGTAGATGGGTGAGGGAAAATAACACATATTTATCCATTTTGAATTCAGGCTGTAACACAACAACATTTGGAATAAGTCAAGAGGTATGAATATATTCTGAAGGCACTGTAATATGAGAACATCCTGATGAACTATGTAGGCCTATAAGTCAATAATTATTTAATAGGAAAGTGAAACCCAATATCTAATATCTCCTGTAGTAGATGCCTTCTATATGTCTTCACTATTAAATCAACGGAAATACAACATACACTTTTTAATGGTGAATGGACTTCATAAACAAGCTGTGCCAGACAGCTGTGAATGCATCTCACCCATCTTTGATTTCATGGTACACAAACCTCCTCTGGGGCTCCGGTTCATCCTCTCTGGGGCTCCGGTTCATCCTCTCTGGGGCTCCGGTTCATCCTCTCTGGGGCTCCGGTTCATCCTCTCTGGGGCTCCGGTTCATCCTCTCTGGGGCTCCGGTTCATTCTCTCTGGGGCTCCGGTTCATCCTCTCTGGGGCTCCGGTTCATCTTCTCTGGGGCTCCGGTTCATCCTCTCTGGGGCTCCGGTTCATCCTCTCTGGGGCTCCGGTTCATCCTCTCTGGGGCTCCGGTTCATCCTCTCTGGGGCTCCGGTTCATCCTCTCTGGGGCTCCGGTTCATCCTCTCTGGGGCTCCGGTTCATCCTCTCTGGGACTCAGAAAATGAAAAACAGAAATACCTTATTTACATAAGTATTCAGACACTTTGCTATGAGCTCAGGTTCATCCTGTTTCCATTGATCATCCTTGAGATGTTTCTACAACTTGATTGGAGTCCATCTGTGGTAAATCCAATTGATTGGATATGATTAGGAATGGAAAGCAAAAACCAAGCCATGAGGTCGAAGGAATTGTCTGTAGAGCTCCGAGAGAGGATTATGTCAAGGCACAGATCTGGGGAATGGTACCAAAACATTTCTGCAGCATTGAAGGTCCCCAAGAACAGAGAAGCCTCCATCATTCTTAAATGGAAGAAGTTTGCAACCACCAAGACTCTTCCTAGAGCTGGCCGCCCGGCCAAACTGAGCAAGACTAGTTAGGATCAAGCAAAGTACAGAGAGATCCTTGATGAAAACCTGCTCCAGAGCACTCAGGACCTCAGACTGGGGTGAAGGTTCACTTTCCAACAGGACAGAGCTTGAGAGGATCTGTAGAGAATAATGGGAGAAACTCCCCAAATACAGGTGTGCCAAGCTTGTAGCGTCATACCCAAGAAGACTCAAGGCTGTAATTGCTGCCAAAGGTGCTTCAACAAAGTACTGAGTAAAGGGTCTGAATACTTATGTAAATGTCATATTTAAGTGTATTTTTTTTAAATAAATGAGCTAAAATTTCTAAAAAGCTGTTTTTGCTTTGTCATTATGGGGTATTGGAAAAAGTCAAGGGGTCTGAATATTTTCAGAATGCACTGTATATGCCATTTACCAGATGCTTTTAACCAAAGCGACTTAGTCATGCGTGCATACATTTTACATATGGTTGGTCCTGGGAATCGAACCCACAACCCTGGAGTTATAAGCACTGTGCTCCCACTGCCCTGAAGTTACAAGCACCATGCTCCCACTATCAACTGAGCTACAAAGTGTGTGTGGTGTTAATTGGAGTCATTCTTCAGTGAGTTACAGTGAATGGATGTAAAGCCCATATAATTAAAATGAGAGATCAAATCAAATCAAATCACATTATATTTGTCACATGCGCAGAATACAACAGGTTTAGACCTTACCGTGAAATGCTTACTTACTAGCCCTTAACCAACAATGCAGTTCAATAAATATTTATATATCTATATAAAGGGGGTACCGGTACCGAGTCAATGTGCGGGGGCACAGCTTAGTCGAGGTAATTTGTACATGTAGGTAGGGGTAAAGTGACTATGCATAGATAATAAACAGTGAGTAGCAGCAGTGTAAAAACAAGCGGGGGGGGTTTCAATGCAAATAGTCCTGGTGGCCATTTGATTAATTTTTCAGCAGTCTTAAGGCTAGAAGCTGTTAAGGAGTCTTTTGGACCTAGACTTGGCACTCCGGTACCGCTTGCCATGCGGTAGCAGAGAGAACAGTCTATGACTTGGGTGGCTGGAGTCTTTCACAATTTTTTTCCTCTGACACCGCCTAGTATATAGGTCCTGGATGGCAGGAAGCTTGGCCCCGGTGATGTACTGTGCCATACACACTGTAGAACTTTTTGAGGATCTGAGGACCCATGCCAAATCTTTTCAGTCTCCTGAGGGGGAAAAGGTGTTGTCGTGCCCTCTTCACGACTGTCTTGGTGTGTTTGGACCATGATAGTTTCTTGGTGATGTTGACACCAAGGAACTTGAAACGCTCTACCCGCTCCACTACAGCCCCGTCAATGTTCAGCCCTCCTTTTCCTGTAGTCCACGATCAGCTCCTTTGTCTTGCTCACATTGAGGGAGAGGTTGTTGTCCTGGCACCACACTGCAAGGTTTCTGACCTCCTCCCTATAGGCTGTCTCATCGTTGTTGAGCGTCAGAGCCGGTGTTGTAGGATCGAATCTTAGTCCTGTATTGACGCTTTGCCTTTTTGATCGTTCGTCTGAGGGCATAGCGGGATTTCTTATAAGCGTCCGGATTAGTTTCCCGCTGCTTGAAAGCGGCAGCACTAGCCTTTAGCTCGGTGCGGATGTTGCCTGTAATCCATGGCTTCTGGTTGGGATATGTACGTGCGGTCACTGTGGGGACGACGTCGTCGATGCACTTATTGATGAAGCCGTTGACTGAGGTGGTATACTCCTCAGTGCCATTGGATGAATCCCGGAATATATTCTAGTCTGTACTAGCAAAACAGATGATAACCGTTCCATTTCTTTTATGCAGCCTATAGCTTTTTAGCCATCAAACCTGCCCCTATCCCTTCTTCTCTACTCTTGTTGTACATGCGATGCAGTGCTGCTTTGAAATCAGTCAAGTAGTTAATATGATTTTTCAGTTAGTTCATTGAAAACAAAGAACATGCCAGCTGCCTGGTGTCAATCAAGAAGACACACAGGAGACAACATCTAGCCTGTTGAATAGTCATGCCATTCACTTCTCTGTGAATGTGAGAAGACAAAAGGTGTCATTTAGTTTTGAAACCTGCCTACAGAAACAGAAACGGTGATGATCAATTGGATGAGTGGCAGCTAATTAGTGAGACGTCCCTAATGAAGGCACTCCAAAGGTGGGCGACCACAGTTTGACACTGCACGCCACACAGAGAATTGACATCCGTCTGGGAAGGGGAGTTGAAAGGTAATGGCCTGCTGATGGCGGTGCCGGCTGAGACGGCTAATGAGATGTCACCAGCTGCCTGTGTCTGCCAGGTTGCAGCAACTCTGCACCTGTAAGGTTAGATGGTATTATGTGCTGCGTATGATAATAGCAGTTTTATTGCACTAAAGATGCACACATTTGCATAGGCACTTTCTCAACACACTCTATCTCTCTCTCCTGCTTCTTTCTCTCGCTCTCTATGACATACTAACGTGCATGCACTGTACACACGCACGCACGCACACGCACACGCACACACAACCACACCCGTGGCCACAAGACAAAGACAGAGCTGCAGTCCTTTTGTCTCTGTTCTGTGCCAGACCAGGTCACAATGGCAACATGATTATCTATTCTTGCAACTCTCCGCTGTCGTTGCCTTTTAGAGTCACATAGCAAGGCCAGCACTGCATTGGCACAACACAGAGTATAGTTCTTAATGTTAGGAACAACAGGATGGCACTCATGAACCAGCTGCTAATGATCCAATTAGACAAAGCCAGGGAGAAAATAAAGGAAAATGGCTGATGTTTGTGGGTGACCAGCTAGCTATTAGGTGATGAAATCTTGTATATTTTTTTTGCTATATAGTCTAATTATATTATTTGTACCAGTTAAATGATATTATTTTACCAGTTTAATGATATTATTTGTACCAGTGGTGTGTTGGAAATTAGTTCACTTTTGGTTTTTGTGTTTCCGTCAGTTCATTTGAGGATGCAAGCTCAGTACAGTCTTTGGTTTTCAGAGAAAATGTATGCTGTCTGCTCCAAATATGCACAACATCACAAAGCTATATTGCAGTTCCAATGTTTATGTATGTTCACGTAAACCCCTCTGAGCTTGTTAAGAAAGTAGAATTGTTCCATCACTTTGCCAATTGTTCTACCCCTGAAGTGAAACAATGTGTAGAACACAATCTAATGAGCTTGGTGTTACAGCTGGTCTACAGTAATGAGGGGATATAAACATTATTCAGATATCATCTCTACGATCCTTCAGGAAGAGGCTGTTTATGTATTCTTCTTTACTTCCTGCCGCATATACACTCAAGTGTACAAAACATTAGGAGCACAATCCTAATATTGAGTTGCACAACCCCCCCTCCCTTTTGCCCTCAGAACAGCCTCAGTTCGTCGGGTCATGGACTTTACAAGTTGTCAAGCGTTCCACAGGGATGCTGTCCCATGTTGACTCCAATGCTTCCCACAGTTGTGTCAAGTTGGTTGGATGTCCTTTAGATGGTGGACCATTCTTGATACACACGGGAAACTGTTGAGTGTGAAAAACCCAGCAGAGTTGCAGTTCTTGACACAAACCGATGCTCCTGGCACCTATTACCATACCCCGTTCAAAGGCACTTAAATATTTTGTTTTGCGCATTCACCCTCTGAATGGCACACATACACAATCCATGTCTTAATTGTCTCAAGGCTTAAACAACCTTCTTTAGCCTGTCTCCCCTTCATCTACACTGTTTGAAGTGGATTTAACAAGTGACATCAATAAGGGATCATAGCTTTCACCTGGATTCACCTGGTCAGTCTGTCATAGAAAGAGCAGGTGTTCTTAATGTTTTGTATACTCAGTGTATAGTGTAATCATTTTGTTATCTTGAATTCTGATATTTACATTTACATTTTAGTCATTTAGCAGACGCTCTTATCCAGAGCGACTTACAGGAGCAATTAGGGTTAAGTGCCTTGCTTAAGGGCACATCGACAGATTTTTCACCTAGTCGGCTCGGGGATTAGAACCAGCGACCTTTCGGTTACTGGCACAACGCTCTTACCCACTAAGCTATCTGCCGCCCCAAGGTTAGATGATATACTGAGCATCTTAGCAGTAGCAGCATAGCATACAGCAGGGGCGTGAATCGGTGTACCCAGGGGCTTGTGTGTGTTCAGCTGACGTGCGTGACATTAGGAAGATTATCAGGGATGTATTTACATATACTTGATCAATGTTAGATCACCAATTTATGTTAATTTCCTGGCATTCAAGCCTTCAATAAGGATGTTTCACATTGGGGTGTGTGTGTTCAGCTGACGTGCGTGACATTAGGGACCTCATCCTGAGAGAAGAAGAGTAAAAAGTCCTAATGAGCAGGGAGGGAGGCCGTTGGTTCAGGAGTGGAGACAGGAATAGAAATAATGAAGTCACTGTGGGGTTAGGAGCTGTTTATGTGGACAGTGACTATACATAAACTCTTTGATCCAATGGGAGGTCTTCTGTCCTCTCAAGAATTCCAGATATGCTGGTTCACATCTGCACAGTAATTGGACGGAACCTGGAACCTGGAAAAGAACATGTCATCATTGGAGTGCTGTGTCCATCTACATACGAAATGGAGCAGTCTCCAGGGATATATTGACACCTTATAAAGTACAACTCAACCAGTGGTTGCAATAAAGGGAACTATTTAATGTATAGTCAAAATGTTGCTATTTTCAAAAGTACTTGATCAAACTACCTTTGGAAAATAAGAATTTTTGACTGGATGAGCTCAGTTTCAGCTGTTTTAACTTGAATAAATAGGAATTGTTTAAGGGTCCATCTTTTGTTCCTTCCTCACAGGTATTATATAAATAGGGAAGAACAAAAGGTCTGCACACTTTACAAATATAATAATATAACCTCCCTGGAAAGCAATTATCTCGAATTGAAATAAAGAGGAGACATTTATTCGTCATCAAATACCATTTCACTATTTCTTCTAAACTCTGGCTTTATCCTGGTCGATATTCTGTGCAGAAAACTGTTATAGTTTGAGCTACTGTATACTGCCTGCCTGCAGGATATAAGGGTTTGTTTAGATGATTTTTCTCTCTAGTAATAGTATGTCTGTGTTTGGGGGATATTGTGGTAAATTGCTGTAATCATCTGATGGAGATTGAGAAATAGATGTTTCTCAGTAATGAATATATATGCCATATTTTGGTGAAGCAAACGGTTTTCTAATTTCATTTGCTAAATAAGTTACTTTACATTGTGGAGGATTTGCATTGCAGTAGCCTGCATGGTCTGAATGGATGAGTAAACCCCAGTGAGTTTGCAAATGCTTATCTTGCACAGACGTGAGTTACAATGCATTTGTAAGTGCTTAGCTTGCACCTCTTCTAAAATACTGTCACCAGGCTCCACTTAAATGGACTCAGAAAAGCATGTGCATACATCACAATAACAGCCTATATAGTTAACTTGTAGAACTGTCTCTTTATTGTCTACCAAGAGACCAATCTCTGTACACTCTCCTTCAGAGAGGTAACACTCCACCTCCATTCTACTGCATGAATTCCTTGTGTGTGTAATGTGTGCCTCTTTATACTACCCCCCCCCCCCCCCCCCCCCATATGCCATTGTGTTTTCAGCTGCAGGGAGAAGTGAATTAATGACACTGCTTGACTCTGTTGGACTATTCACAAAGCCTGGAGCCCCGGTGTCAACAACCCATCTTTCCTTGACTCTGTGATACACATAATACACATTATCGATTTAGTTCGTCACCTGCCTGACGGTCGCTAGTGATCTGTCATCCGAGTTTCTTTTTTTTTTCTTTTTTTTCCTGTTACTCTCTCTCTTTCTCTTTCTCTCCGTTCATCACCCTCAACCTCCCAATACAGTTTGTTGATGCAGGTTAGAGGGATAGAAATGAAGAAGAATAATGACTCACATACTCAGAGAGAGGTCATGTTTAACTCCCTGGGAGCAGACCATACAGTGGGGAGAACAAGTATTTGATACACTGCCGATTTTGCAGGTTTTCCTAGTTACAAAGCATTTAGAGGTCTGTCATTTTTTATCATAGGTACACTTCAACTGTGAGAGACGGAATCTAAAACAAAAATCCAAAAAATCACATTGTATGATTTTTAAGTAATTAATTTGCATTTTATTGCATGACATAAGTATTTGATCACCTACCAACCAGTAAGAATTCCGGCTCTCACAGACCTGTTCATTTTTCTTTAAGAAGCCCTCCTGTTCTCCACTCATTACCTGTATTAACTGCACCTGTTTGAACTCGTTACATGTATAAAAGACACCTGTCCACACACTCACTCAAACAGACTCCAACCTCTCCACAATGGCCAAGACCAGAGAGCTGTGTAAGGACATAAAATTGTAGACCTGCACAAGGCTGGGATGGGCTACAGGACAATAGGCAAGCAGCTTGGTGAGAAGGCAACAACTGTTGGCGCAATTATTAGAAAATGGAAGAAGTTCAAGATGACGGTCAATCATCCTCGGTCTGGGGCTCCATGCAAGATCTCACCTCGTGGGGCATCAATGATCATGAGGAAGGTGAGGGATCAGCCCAGAACTACACGGCAGGACATGGTCAATGACCTGAAGAGAGCTGGGACCACAGTCTCAAAGAAAACCATTAGTAACACACTACGCCGTCATGGATTAAAATCCTGCAGCGCACGCAAGGTCCCCCTGCTCAAGCCAGTGCATGTCCAGGCCCGTCTGAAGTTTGCCAATGACCATCTGGATGATCCAGAGGAGGAATGGGAGAAGGTCATGTGGTCTGATGAGACAAAAATAGAGCTTTTTGGTCTAAACTCCACTCGCCGTGTTTGGAGGAAGAAGAAGGATGAGTACAACCCCAAGAACACCATCCCAACCGTGAATCGTGGAGGTGGAAACATCATTCTTTGGGGATGCTTTTCTGCAAAGGGGACAGGACGACTGCACCGTATTGAGGGGAGGATGGATGGGGCCATGTATTGCGAGATCTTGGCCAACAACCTCCTTCCCTCAGTAAGAGCATTGAAGATGGGTCGTGGCTGGGTCTTCCAGCATGACAACGACCCGAAATACACAGCCAGGGCAGCTAAGGAGTGGCTCTGTAAGAAGCATCTCAAGGTCCTGGAGTGGCCTAGCCAGTCTCCAGACCTGAACCCAATAGAACGTCTTTGGAGGGAGCTGAAAGTCCGTATTGCCCAGTGACAGCCCCGAAACGTGAAGGATCTGGAGAAGGTCTGTATGGAGGAGTGGGCCAAAATTCCCACTGCAGTGTGTGCAAACCTGGTCAAGACCTACAGGAAACGTATGATCTCTGTAATTGCAAACAAAGGTTTCTGTACCAAATATTAAGTTCTGCTTTTCTGACGTATCAAATACTTATGTCATGCAATAAAATGCAAATTAATTACTTAAAAATCATACAATGTCATTTTCTGGAGTTTTGTTTTAGATTCCTTCTCTCTCAGTTGAAGTGTACCTATGATAACAATTACAGACCTCTACATGCTTTGTAAGTAGGAAAACCTGCAAAATCGGCAGTGTATCAAATACTTGTTCTCCCCACTGTATGTGGTACCAATAGTTTTTTTTTTCTCAGTCACTACATGCCACAGTACTGTTTTTTCCCCCCTCTGAGTTGTGTGGTGGCCATTCTCACAATTCCAACTCACACAACATGACCCACGCAACGCATTTTATCTTTTTTATCTTAAAGCAGAGTCATTTGGAGCGAGAGCTCTTGCTTTGTCGCATCATAGTAATGTTTCATACCTTTCACCCGTTTTTATTTATGATCCAAAACATTTGTCCAGACGAGACAAAACCCTTTTCAATTCTTTACTGAAATGCATTTTCCTTTACAAGATACAAGGTCAGTTCAGAGAAACGTGGTTAAATGCTCTCCGGTTTTGTTTAATGAATAAAGTTCCCTAAAGATTTTCATTTTTCCTGTATAGTATATATTTATATTATATATTTCCTGTATTTATATATGTATTTATATTATATATTTCCTGTATCTTATATATGTATTTATATTATATATTTCCTGTATCTTATATATATATTTATATTATATATTTCCTGTATCTTATATATATATTTATATTATATATTTCCTGTATCTTATATATGTATTTATATTATATATTTCCTGTATCTTATATATGTATTTATATTATATATTTCCTGTATCTTATATATGTATGTATATACATATATAGACAGTTGAAGTCGGAAGTTTACATACACCTTAGCCAAATACATTTAAACTCAGGTTTTCACAATTCCTGACATTTAATCCTAGTAAAAATACCCTGTCTTAGGTCAATTAGGATCACCACTTTATTTTAAGAATGTGAAATGTCCGAATAATAGTGGAGAGAATGATTTATTTCAGATATATTTCTTTCATCACATTACCAGTGGGTCAGATGTTTACATACACTCAATTAGTATTTGGTAGCATTGCCTTTAAATTGTTTAACTTGGGTCAAACGTTTCGGGTAGCCTTCCACAAGCTTCCCACAATAAATTGGGTGGATTTTGGCCCATTCCTCCTGACAGAGCTTGTGTAACTGAGTCAGGTTTGTAGGCCTCCTTGCTCGCACACGCTTTTTCAGTTCTGCCCACTAATTCTCTATAGGATTGAGGTCAGGGCTTTGTGATGGCCACTCCAATACCTTGACTTTGTTGTCCTTAAGCCATTTTGCCACAACTTTGGAAGTATGCTTGGGGTCATTGTCCATTTGGAAGACCCATTTGCGACCAAGCTTTAACTTCCTGACTGATGTCTTGAGATGTTGCTAAAATATATCCACATAATTTTCCTTCCTCATGATGCCATCTATTTTGTGAAGTGAAACAGTCCCTCCTGCAGCAAAGCACCCCCACAGCATGATGCTGCCACCCCCGTGCTTCACGGTTGGGATGCTGTTCTTCTGCTTGCAAGAAACCCCCTATTTCCTCCAAACATAATGATGGTCATTATGGCCAAACAGTTCTATTTTTTTTTCATCAGACCAGAGGACATTTCTCCAAAAAGTATGATCTTTGTCCCCATGTGCAGTTGCAAACCGTAGTCTGGCTTTTTTATGGCGATTTTGGAGCAGTGGCTTCTTCCTTGCTGAGTGGCCTTTCAGGTTATGTCGATATAGGACTCATTTTACTGTGGATATAGATACTTTTGTACCTGTTTCCTCCAGCATCTTCACAAGGTCCTTTGCTGTTGTTCTGGGATTGATTTGCACTTTTCGCACCAAAGTACGTTCATCTCTAGGAGACAGAACGCGTCTCTTTCCTGAGCGGTATGACAGCTGCATGGTCCCATGGTGTTTATACTTGCGTACTATTGTTTGTACAGATGAACGTGGTACCTTCAGGCGTTTGGAAATTGCTCCCAAGGATGAACCAGACTTGTGGAGGTCTACAATTTTGTTCTGAGGTATTGGATGATTTCTTTTGATTTTCCCATGATGTCAAGCCAAGAGGCACTGAGTTTGAAGGTAGGCCTCGAAATACATCCACAGGTACACCTCCAATTTACTCAAATTATGTCAATTAGCCTATCAGAATCTTCTAAAACCATGACATCATTTTCTGGAATTTTCCAAGATATTTAAAGGCACAGTCAACTTAGTGTATGTAAACTTCTGACCCACTGGAATTGTGATACAGTGAATTATAAGTGAAATAATCTGTAAACAATTGTTGGAAAAATTACTTGTATCATACATTAAGTTGACTGTGCCTTTAAACAGCTCTTAAAATAAAGTGGTGATCCTAACTGACCCAAGACAGGGATTCTTTACTAGGATTAAATGTCAGGAATTGTGAAAAACTGAGTTTAAATGTATTTGGCTAAGGTGTATGTAAACTTCTTACTTCAACTGTATATATACAGTGAGGGAAAAAAGTATTTGATCCCCTGCTGATTTTGTATGTTTGCCCACTGACAAAGAAATGATCAGTCTATATATATATATATATATATATATATATATATATATATATATATATATATATACTGCTCAAAAAAATAAAGGGAACACTTAAACAACACAATGTAACTCCAAGTCAATCACATTTCTGTGAAATCAAACTGTCCACTTAGGAAGCAACACTGATTGACAATACATTGCACATGCTGTTGTGCAAATGGAATAGATAACAGGTGGAAATTATAGGCAATTAGCAAGACACCCCCAATAAAGAAGTGGTTCTGCAGGTGGTGACCACAGACCACTTCTCAGTTCCTATGCTTCCTGGCTGATGTTTTGGTCACTTTTGAATGCTGGCGGTGCTTTCACTCCAGTGGTAGCATGAGACAGAGTCTACAACCCACACAAGTGGCTCAGGTAGTGCAGCTCATCCAGGATGGCACATCAATGCGAGCTGTGGCAAGAAGGTTTGCTGTGTCTGTCAGCGTAGTTTCCAGAGCATGGAGGCGCTACCAGGAGACAGGCCAGTACATCAGGAGACGTGGAGGAGGCCGTAGGAGGGCAACAACCCAGCAGCAGGACTGCTACCTCCGCCTTTGTGCAAGGAGGAGCAGGAGGAGCACTGCCAGAGCCCTGCAAAATGACCTCCAGCAGGCCACAAATGTGCATGTGTCTGCTCAAACGTTCAGAAACAGACTCCATGAGGGTAGTATGAGGGCCCGACGTCCACAGGTGGGGGTTGTGCTTACAGCCCAACACCGTGCAGGACGTTTGGCATTTGCCAGAGAACACCAAGATTGGCAAATTCGCCACTGGCACCCTGTGCTCTTCACAGATGAAAGCAGGTTCACACTGAGCACATGTGACAGACATGACAGAGTCTGGAGACGCCGTGGAGAACGTTCTGCTGCCTGCAACATCCTCCAGCATGACCGGTTTGGCAGTGGGTCAGTCATGGTGTGGGGTGGCATTTCTTTGGGGGGCCGCACAGCCCTCTATGTGCTCGCCAAAGGAAGCCTGACTGCCATTAGGTACCGAGATGAGATCCTCAGACCCCTTGTGAGACCATATGCTGGTGCGGTTGGCCCTGGGTTCCTCATAATGCAACACAATGCTAGACCTCATGTTGCTGGAGTGTGTCAGCAGTTCCTGCAAGAGGAAGGCATTGATGCTATGGACTGGCCCGCCCGTTCCCCAGACCTGAATCCAATTGAGCACATCTGGGACATCAGGTCTCGCTCCATCCACCAACGCCACATTGCACCACAGACTGTCCAGGAGTTGGCAGATGCTTTAGTCCAGGTCTGGGAGGAGATCCCTCAGGAGACCATCCGCCACCTCATTAGGAGCATGCCCAGGCGTTGTAGGGAGGTCATACAGGCACGTGGAGGCCACACACACTACTGAGCCTCATTTTGACTTGTTTTAAGGACATTACATCAAAGTTGGATCAGCCTGTAGTGTGGTTTTCCACTTTAATTTTGAGGGTGACTCCAAATCCAGACGTCCATGGGTTGATACATTTGATTTCCATTGATAATTTTTGTGTGATTTTGTTGTCAGCACATTCAACTATGTAAAGAAAAAAGTATTTAATAAGATTATTTCATTCATTCAGATCTAGGATGTGTTATTTTAGTGGTTCCCTTTAATTTTTTTGAGCAGTGTGTATATACCATATATCTCTACTCCCCCCCTCTTCCCCCCCTTTTCCCCCTCCTCTCCCCTTTCCTCCCCCCTTTTCCTCCCCTCCCTCCTCTCTTCCCCCAAATCTCCTTCCTCTCCCCCCCTTTTTTCCTCCTATCCCCTTTCCCTCTCTCCCCCCCTCTTTTCCCTTCCCCTCTATTTCCTCTCCCCCCCTTTCTCCCCCTCCCTCCCTTTTCTCCTCCCCCTTTTCCCCCTCCTTCCCCTCCTCTTTTCCCCCTCTTTTCCCTTTCCTTTTCCTTCCTTTCCCTTTTCCCCTTTCCCTCCCCCTTTCCCCTCTCTCCCCCTCTCTTCCTCCTATCTCCTTCCTCTCTCCCCCCCTCTTTTCCCCTCCCTTTTTTCCCCCCCTTTTTTTTTCCCCCCTCTCCCCCCTCCTCTCTCCCTCCTTTTCTCCCTCCTCTCTCCCCCCCCTCCCCTCCCCTTCTTCTTCCTCCTCCCTCCCTCTTCCCTCCTCTCTCCCCCCCTCTCTTCCTCAAACCCCCCTCCTCCCCCCCTTTCCGTTTCTCCCTCCTCTCTTCCCCCTCCTCTCTCCCCCCCTCCCTCCCCTTTCCCCTCCTCTCTCCCTCCCCTCCCCCCTCCCCCCCTTCCTTTTCCTCTTTTCCCCTCTACCCCCTCCTCTCTCCCTCCTCTTTTCCCTTTTCCCCCTTTCTCCCCCCCCCCTCCCCCCTTCCCTTTTCTCCTTCCTCTTTTCCCTCTAACCCTCCCCCTCTCCCTCCCTCTTTCCTCCTCTTTTTCCCTCCCCCCCCTCTTTCCTCCCTCTCCCCCCCACCCCCTCCTCCCCTTCCCTCCTCTTCCTTCCTCTCTCCCTCCTCTTTTCCTCCCCCTCTCCTTCCTCTCTCCCTCCTCTTTTTCCCCTCTGGGGCCCTTTTCCCTCCTCCCCCCCCTTTTCTCCCCCCTTTCTCTCCCCCTCTAAACCCCTTTCCTTTCTCCTTTTTTTATTCCTCTCCCCCCCTCTCTCCCTTCCCTCTTTCCTCCCCTCCCCCCTCCTCTTTTCCCCTCCTCTTTTCCCCTCCTCATTTTTCCTCCTCTTTTTCCTCCTCTCCCCCTTTCCCCTTCCCCTTCCCCTTCCTTTTTTCCTCCCCTTTTCCCTTCTCTTTTTCCTTTTTCCCTTTTTCATCCTCCTCCCTCCTCCTTTCCTCCTCTCCCCCTTTCCCTCCCCCTTTCCTCTCCCCTTTTCCTCTCTCCCCCCTCTTTTCCCCTCCTCTCCCCCTTCCTCTCTCACTTCCCCCCTTCTTCCCCTCCCCTCCTTCCTTTCTTCCCCCTCCTCTCTTTTTCCTCTCTCCCTCCTCTTTTCCCTTCCTCAAACCCCCTCCTCTCCCCTCCTCTCTTCCTCCTTTTCTCCCTCATCTCCCCCTCAAAAACCCTTTCCTCTAACCCCCCTCTCTCCCTCCTCTCTCCCTCCTCTTCCCCTCCTCTCTCCCCCCCCTTTTCTTCCTCTTTTTCCCTCCTCTCCCCCTTCCTCTCTCCTTCCTCCTTCTTTTCCCTTCCCCCTCTCTTCCTCCTCCCCTCCCTCCTCTCCCTCCTTTTTTCCCCCCCTCTCTTCCTCTAACTTTTCCCCCCTTTTCCCCCTTTCCTCTCCCCCTCCTCTCCCTTTCCTTTTCCCCTTCCTCTCTTCCCCCTCCTCCTCTCCCCTCCTCTCTCTTTCCCTCCTTCCTCCTTTCCCCCTCCCCACCCCCTCCCTAACCCCCTTCCCCCTTTTCCTCAACCCCCCTTTTTCTTTCCCCTTCCTCTCTCCCTCCTCCTTCCTCCTCTCCTCCCCCCTCCTCCCTCCCCCTTTTCCCCAAACCTCTTTTTTCCTCCCCCCCCTCCCTCTCTCCCGTCCTCTTTTTCCCTCTCTCCCCCCTTTCTCTTCCTCCTCTCAATTTCCCTCTCCCTCCTCCTCTTTTCCTCCCCCCCTCTTCCTCCTCTCTCCTTCCTCCCTACCCCTCCCCTCCCCCCCTTCTCCCTCCTCTCTTCCCTCCCCCTCCCTAAACCCTCCTCCCTCCCTCCCCCTCCCTCCCTCCCCTCCCTCTTTTTCTTCCCAAAACCCCTCCTCTCTCCCCTCCTCTCTCCCTCCTCTCTCCTTCTTCTCTCCCCTCCTCCCCACCCCCCCTCTCCCCTTTAAACCCACCTCTCCCCCCTCTTTTCCTCCCCTCCCCTCCCCCCCTTTCCCCCTCCTCTCTTACTCCTTTTTCCTTCCTCTCCCTCCCTCCTCTCTTCTCCTCCCTCCCCCCCTCCCCCCTCCTCTCTTCCTCCTCCCCTCCCTCCTCTCCCCTTCCCCCCCTCTCCCCTCCTCTTTTCCCCAAATCTTTCCTCCTCCCCTTCCCCTCACCCCTTCCTTTTCCCCCCTCCTTTTTCCTCTTTTCCCTCCTCCCCCTTTCCCTCTCTCCCTCCTCTCTTCCCCCTTTCTCTCCCCCTCTCTTTCTCCCCCCTCTTTCCTTTTTCCCTCTTCCCCCCCCTCTTCCTCCTCCTCCTCCCTCCTATATCCCCCCCTTTTCCCCCCCCCTCTTTTCTTTCCTCCTCTCTCCTTCCTCTCTTCCTCCCCTCTCCCTCCTCTTTTTCCCCTCTTTTCCCCACCCTTTTCCTTTCCTCCTCTCCCCCCCCTCCTCTCTTTCTCCTCTCTCCTTCTTCTCTTCCTCCTTTTCCTTTCCCCCTTTCCCCCCTTTTTTCTTTTTCTCTTCCCTCCTCTCTTCCTCCTTTTCCTCCCTCTCTCAACCCCCCTCTATCCCTCCTCTCTTCCTCAAAACCCCCTCCTCCCTCCTCTCTCCCCCCCTTTTCCTCCCCTTTTCCTCTTTTCCTCTCTCCCCCCTCTCTCCCTCCTCTTTTCCCTCCCCCCTCTCCATTCCTCTCTTCCTTTTTCTCCCTTTTCCCCTCTCCCCTCCTCTCTTCCTCAAAAACCCAAACTCCTCCCTTCCTCTTTTTCCCTCACTTTTTCCTCCTCTCTTCCTCCTCCCCTTTTCCTTCTTTTTCCCCTCCTCTTTTCCCCTTTTCCCCTCCTCTTCCTTCCTCTCTCCCCCTCTCCCCCTTCCTTTTCTCCCTCCCTCTCCCTCCTTTTCTTTTCTCCTCCTCCTTATTACCCACCCTCCCTCCTCCCCCCTTTCCTCTCTCCCTCCTCTCCCTCCTCCTCCCTCCTCTCTCCCTCCCTTTTCCCCTCAACCCCCCCTCTCTCCCCCTCCCCCCCTTCCTAAACCCTCCTTCTATTTCCTTTGCCCTCCCCCCCCCCCCCTTCCCCTTTTTTCCCTCCCCCCTGGGCCCCCAATCCCTTCCCCCTCCCCCCCTCTTCCCTTCCCCTTCCTCCCTCCCCTCCTCTCCCCCTCCCTCTATTTTTTTTCTCCCTCCTCTTTTCCCTTTCCTCTCTCCTCCCTTTTCCTCCTCTCCCCCCCTCCCCCCCCTCCTCTCTCCCTCCTCTCTTCCCTAACCCTCCTCAAACCTCCTCCTCTCCCCCTCCTCTCTTCCTCAAACCCCTCCTCTCCCCCCCCTCCTCTTTTCCCCTCCTCCCCTCCCTCCCCTCTTCCCCCCTCTCTCCTATCCTCTCCCTCTTCTCCCCCCCTCTCCCTCCTCTCCCTCCTTTTCCCTCCCCCCTCCTTTTTCTCCCCCTCCTTCTCCCCCCTCTCTTCCTCCTCTCCCTCCTCTCTTTCCTCCTCTCTCCTATCTCTCCCCCTCCCTCTCCCTCCTCTCCCCCTCCCTCCCTCCCCTTTTTTCCCTCCCCCCTCGTCCCTTTCCTTTTTTTCCCTCCCTTTCCTCCCTCCCTCCCCTTCCCCCTGCCCCCCCGCTTCCTCCTCTCCCTATCTCCCCTCCCCCATCCTCCCCCCCCTCCCCTCCTCTCCCCTCCCTATCCCCCCCTTCCTCTCCCCCCCTCTTCCCTCCCTCCCCCCCTCCCCCCTCTCTTTCCCCTCCTCCCCCTTCCTCTCTTCCAAACCCTCCCCCCCCCCTCCCCCCAATCCCCCCTCTTTCCCCCTCTCCCCCTTATTCTCTTCCCCCTCTCTTCCTCCCTTTTCCCCTCCTCCCCCTTCCCTCATCTTACTCCCCCTCCCTCCTCTCCCCTCCTTTCCCCCCTCTTTTTCCTTTCCTCCTCCCCCCCTTTTCCTCTCTCCCTCCTCCTTCCTCCTCTCTCCCTCCTCTCTTCCTCCTCTTTTCCTTTCCCTTTTCTCCCTTCCTCCCCCCCCTCCCCTCTTTTCCCCCCTTTCTCTTCCTCCTCTCTTCCTCCTCTCACCCTCCTTCCCCCCCTCCCCCTTCCCTTTTTCCCTCCTCTCTCCTCTCTCCCTCCTCTTTTTTTTCCCCTCTCCCCTTTTTCCCTTCTTCCCCTCTCTCCCTCCTCCCCCCTCATCTTCTCCTCCCTCCTTTTTCCCCCCCCTTTTCCTTCCCCCCTCTCTCCTCCTCTCTCCCCCCCTTCCTTCCCCCTCCTTTTCCCCTTTCCCTCTCCCCCCTTCCTCTCTTCTCCCCCCTTTTCCCTCCCTCTCCCCCTCCCTCCCTCCTCCCCTCCCTCCTCTCCTCCCTCCCCTCTTCCTCCTCTTTTCCCCCCTTTCCTTCCCCTCCCCCTCTTCCTCTCTCTCCTTTTTCCCTGTTCCTCCTCTCTTCCCCCCTCTCTTCCTCCTCCCCTCTCCCTCCTTTTTTCCCCTAAATCTTACTCTCTCCCTCCTCTCTCCCCCTCCCCACCCCCCCCCCCTCCTCTCTTCCTCCTCTTTCCCCCTTTTCCTCCTCCTCCCTTCTCCCTCCTCTTTTCCCTCCCTCTCCCTCCCCCTTTTCCTTTTTTTTTTTTTTTCCCCCCCCCCTTCCTCCCCCCCCTTTCCTCTCTTCCTCCTCCCCGCCCCTTTCCCCCTTCTTCCTCCTCCTCTTTTCCCCTCCCTCTCCCCCCCCCTTCTTCCTCTCTTCCTTCTTCTCTTCGTCCTCTCTTCCTCCTCTCTTCCTCTAACCTTCCTCCTCTCTTTCTCCTCTCTCCCTCCTCTCTCCCTCCTCTCTCTGTTTGTCTGCAGAGGTTTGTGGGAAACGTGAACGCTGACGGTGTCGTCCACCACAAGTTGTCCCACTCTATTAGAAGCCGCTTCCTGCGCTTCGTCCCCCTGGACTGGAACCCCAGTGGCTGGGTGGGTCTCAGAGTGGAGGTCTTCGGCTGTGCCTACAGTGAGTGATCAGACCACCAGTACTTACATACAGACCATATAGGCTGTGCCTACATTACAGTGACCACCAGCTCTTACATACAGACCAAACACGTTCAGATAATATCATAATGCCTACCGTGAGTGACCCCACCACCCATTACATCCAGACCACCCTACCTTTGTGTATACCCTTTAATGAAAGCAGGACGTTTGAGGACAACTGCAGACATAGGGATAGTGAGGATTTTGATATTGCAACAATGATTAAAGAAAAATGCCAGTAACAGCCAGGCAGGCGTGCCAGTTGAGAGCCAGGGTAATGCTAAATAAATAAATCTAATCAAATCAAAGTTTATTGGTCGTGTACACAGATTTTGCAGGTGTTACAGCAGGTGCAGCAAAATGCTTCTGTTACTAGCTCCAACAATAGAATGTGTTGCAAATAAAATACAAATAGCCAGTGAATTACTATTATACCACTAATATATATTATTATTAGTGTATTACTGCACAGTTATAATTATCCCTGAGTGAGCACTTTCATAATGCGGAATGGTTCCACAGCATGATCCCTGTATTAATGTTGGATTAATTTGTGATCTGATAAGACATGAAGCTCAAAGTTAAACGAATAAAAGGAGGGACAATACACATCTTACTTTTGAACTATAAAACAGGTTGGTCACAGATACACTACAAGAACAGAAGTATGTGGACACCTGCTCGTCAAACATCTCATTCTAAAATCATGGGCATTAATATGGAGTTGGTCCCCCCTTTGCTGAGCAGCCTCCTAGTCCGACTTAAGAGGCGTGCACACAACCCACCGCTTCCGAGTATATTACTCGCTAATGTTCAGTCTCTGGATAATAAAGTTGACGAGCTCAGGGCAAGGGTTTCTTTCCAGAGAGACATCAGGGATTGTAACATACTCTGTTTCACAGAAACATGGCTCTATCGGGATATACTGTCTGAGTCGGTCCAGCCAGTTGGGTTCTCAGTTCATCGCGCAGACAGGAATAAATATCTCTCTGGGAAGCAGAAGGGCGGAGGTGTATGTTTTATGATTAACGACTCACGGTGTAATTGTGATAACATACAGGAACTCAAGTCCTTTTGTTCACCCGACCTAGAATACCTCATAATCAAATGCCGACCGTATTATCTCCCAAGATAATTTTATTTGCTTATAGTCACAGCCGTGTATATACCCCCTCAAGCCGATACCACGACGGCCCTCAAAGAACTTCACTGGACTTCATGCAAACTGGAAACCACATATCCTGAGGCTGCATTTATTGTAGCTGGGGATTTTAAGAAAGCATATTTGAGGAAAAGGTTTGCTGAAGTTCTATTAACACATCGACTGTAGTACTCGCGCTACTAAAACACTCGACCACTGCTACTCCAACTTCCGGGATCCATACAAGGTCCTCCCCCGCCCTCCTTTCGTCAAATCTGACCACGACTCCATTTTGCTCCTCCCTTCCTATAGGCAGAAACTCAAACAGGAAGTACCCGTACTAAGGACTATTCAACGCTGGTCTGACCAATCAGAATCCACGCTTCAAGATAGTTTTGATCCCGTGGACTGGGATATGTTCTGGGTAGCTTCAGAGAATAATATTGACATATATACTGATACGGTGACTGAGTTTATCAGGAAGTGTATAGGAGATGTTGTACCCACTGCGACTATTAAAACCTACCCTAACCAGAAACCGTGGATAGATGGCAGCATTCGCGCAAAACTGAAAGTGCGAACCACCGCATTTAACCATGGCAAGGTGACTGGGAATATGGCAGAATACAAACAGTGTAGCTACTCACTCCGCAAGGCAATCAAACAGGCAAAACGTCAGTATAGGGACAAAGTGGAGTCACAATTCAATGGCTCAGACACGAGACGTATGTGGCAGGGTCTATAGACAATCACACACAACAAAAGGAAAACCAGCCACGTCGCAGACACCGACGTCTTGCTTCCGGACAAGCTAAACACCTTCTTCGCCCGCTCTGAGGATAATATAGTGACACAGACGTGGCCCGCTCCCAAGGACTGTGGGATCTCCTTCTCAAAGGCCGACGTGAGTAAGACACAATTGAGAGCATCCTGTTGGGCTGTATCACCGCCTGGTACGGCAACTGCACCGCCCGCAACCGCAGGGCTCTTCAGAGGGTGATGCGGTCTGCCCAGCGCATCACTGGGGGCAAACTACCAGCCCTCCAGGACACCTACAGCACCCGATGTCACAGGAAGGCCAAAAAGATAGTCAAGGACAACAACCACCCGAGCCACTGCCTGTTCACCCTGCTATCATCCAGAAGCTGAGGTCAGTATAGGTGCCTCAAAGCTGGGACCGAGAGACTGAAAAACAACTTCTATCTCAAGGCCATCAGACTGTTAAATAGCCTTCACTAGCACATTAGAGGCTGCTGCCTAAATACATAGATTAGAAATCACTGGCCACTTTAATAAATGGAACACTAGTCACTTTAATAATGTTTACATATCTTGCATTACTCATCTCATATGTATATACTGTATTCTATACTATTCTACTGTATCTTAGTCTATGCCGCTCTGACATTGCTCGGCCATATATTTATTTATTCTTAATTCCATTGCTTTACTTAGATTTGTGTGAATTGGGTATATGTTGTGAAATTGTTAGATATTACTTGTTAGATATTACTGCACTGTCGGAGCTAGAAACACAAGCATTTCGCTACACCCGCAATAACATCTGCTAAACACGTGTATGTGACCAATAAAATGTGATTTGATTTGATTTGATAACAGCCTCCACTCTTCTGGGAAGGCTTTCCACTAGATGATGGAACATTGTTGCGGGGACTTGCTTCCATTCAGCCTCAAGAGCATTAGGGTGATTAGGCCTGGCTTGCAGTTGGCGTTCCAATTCATCCCAAAGGTGTTCAATGGGGTTGAGGTCAGGGCTCTGTGCAGGCTAGTCAAGTTCTTCCACACCGATCTCGACAAACCATTTCTGTATGGACTTCGCTTTGTGCATGGGGGCATTGTCATGCTGAAACAGGAAAGGGTCTTCCCCAAACTGTGGTCCTCTGTAGCTCAATTGGTAGAGCATGGCGCTTGTAACGCCAGGGTAGTTGGTTCGATCCCCGGGACCACCCATACGTAAAAATATATGCGCACATGACTGTAAGTCGCTTTGGATAAAAGCGTCTGCTAAATGGCTTATTTTTTTTTTGCCACAAAGTTGGAAGTACAGAATAGTCTAGAATGTCATTGTATGTTGTAGCATTAAGATTTCCCTTCACTGGAACTAAGGGGCCTAGCCCGAACCATGAAAAACATCCCCAGACCATTATTCCTCCTCCACCAAACTTTACAGTTGGCACTATGGATTTGGGCAGGTAGTGTTCTCCTGGCATCCGCCAAATCCAGATTTGTCCATCGCTGCCAGAAGGTGAAGCGTGATTCAGAGTCCAATGGTGGCAAGCTTTACACCACTCCAGCCAACGCATGGCATTGCGCATGGTGAACTTAGGCTTCTGTGCGGCTGCTCGGCCATGGAAACCCAATTCATGAAGCTCCCGATGAACAGGTCTTGTGCTGACGTTGCATCCAGAGGCAGTTTGGAACTCGGTAGTGAGTGTTGCAACCGAGGACAGACTATTTTTAAACGCTTCAGCACTCGGCGGTCCCGTTCTGTGAGCTTGTGTGGCCTACCACTTCCCGGCTGAACGTTGTTGCTCCTAGACATTTCCACTTCACAATAACAGCACGTACAGTTGACCGGGGCAGCTCTAGCAGGGCAGACATTTTACGAACTGACTTGTTGGAAAGGTGGCATCCTATGACGGTGCCAAGTTGAAAGTCACTGAGCTCTTCAGTAAAGCCATTCTGCTGCCAATGTTTGTCTATAGAGATTGCATGGCTGTGTGCTCGATTTTATACACCTGTCAGCAACGGGTGTGGCTGAAATAGCTGGATCCACTAATTTGAAGGGGTGTCTACATGCTTTTGTATATGTAGTGTACCTTAAAACAATGGATATGGGCATGGATCAGAAAACCAGTCAGTATCTAGTGTGACCACCATTTGCCTCATGCAGCGCAACACATCTCTTTCGCATGGAGTTGATCAGTCTGTTGATTGTGGCCTGTGGAATGTTGTCCCACTCCTTTTCAATGGCTATGCGAAGTTGATGGATATTGGCTGGAACTGGAACACACTGTCGTACACGTCGATCCAGAGCATCCCAAACATGCTTAATGGGTGACATGTCTCGTGAGTATGCAGACCATGGAAGAACTGGGACATTTACAGCTTCCAGGAATTGTGTACAGATCCTTGCGACATGGGGCCGTGCATTATCATGCTGAAACATGAGGTGATGGTGGTGGATGAATGGCACGACACTTGGCCTCAGGATCTCGAACACGGTATCTCTGTGCATTCAAATTGCCATCAATAAAATGCAATTGTGTTCGTTGTCTGTAGCTTATGCCTGCCCATACCATAACTGTACCGCCACCATGGGGCACTCTGTTCACAACGTTGACATCAGCAAACCGCTCGCCTGCACAACGCCATACACGTGGTCTGCGGTTGTGAGGCCAGTTGGACGAACTGCCAAATTCTCTAAATCAACATTGGAGGCAGCTTATGGTAGAGAAATTCACATTCTGTTCTCTGGCAGTCAGAATGCCAATTGCACACTCCCTCAATACTTGAGACATCTGTGGAATTGTGTTTTGTTTGACAAAACTGCACATTTTAGAGTGGCCTTTTATTGTCCCCAGCACAAGGTGCACCTGTGTAATGATCATGCTGTTTAATCAGTTTCTTGATATGTCACACCTGTGAAGTGGATGGATTATCTTGGCAAAGTAGAAATGCTCACTAACAGGGATGTAAACAATTATGTGCACAAGATTTGAGAGAAATAAGCTTTTTGTGCATATGGAACATTTCTGGGATATTTTATTTCAGCTCATGAAACATGGAACCAACACTTTACATGTTGCTTTTATATTTTAGTTCAGTGTACATTTAAATACTACCATTGATAGAGACACATTAGCATTTCCTTCACAGGTACACTATATACAGTTGAAGTCAGAAGTTTACATACACCTTAGCCAAAACAAATTTTAACTCAGTTTTTCAAAATTCCTGACATTTAATCCTAGTAAAAATTCCCTGTGTTAGGTCAGTTAGGATCCCCACTTTATTTTAAGAACGTGAAATGTCAGAATAATAGTAGAGAGAGTGATTTATTTCAGCTTTTATTTCTTTCATCATATTCCCAGTGGGTCAGAAGTTTACTCAATTAGTATTTGGTAGCATTGCCTTTAAATTGTTTAACTTGGCTCAAACGTTTCGGCTAGCCTTCCACAATAAGTTGGGTGAATTTTGGCCCATTCCTCCTGACATAGTTGGTGTAACTGAGTCAGGTTTGTAGGCCTCCTTGCTCACACACGCTTTTTCAGTTCTGCCCATACATTTTCTATAGGATTGAGGTCAGGGCTTTGTGATGGCCACTCCAACACCTTGACTTTGTTGTTCTAAAGCCATTTTGCCACAACTTTGGAAGTATGCTTGGGGTCATTGTCCATTTGGAAGACCCATTTGCAACCAAGCTTTACATTTACATTTTAGTCATTTAGCAAACACTCTTATCCAGAGCGACTTACATCAGCAATAAGGGTTAAGTGCCTTGCTTAAGGGCACATCGACAGATTTTTCTCCTAGTCGGCTCGGGGATTAGAACCAGCGACCTTTCGGTTACTGGCACAACGCTCTCACCCACTAAGCTACCTGCCACTTTAACTTCCTGACTGATGTCTTGAGATGTTGCTTCAATATATCCACATAATTTTCCTTCCTCATGATGCCATCTATTTTGTGAAGTGCAACAGTCCCTCCTGCAGCAAAGCACCCCCACAGCATGATGCTGCCACCCCCGTGCTTCACGGTTGGGATGGTGTTCTTCTGCTTGCAAGCTTCCCCCCTTTTTCCTCCAAACATAACGATGGTCATTATGGGCAAACAGTTCTTCTTTTGGTTCATCAGACCTGAGGACATTTCTCCAAAAAGTAAAATCTTTGTCCCCATGTGCAGTTGCAAACCTTAGTCTGGTTTTTTAATGGCAGTTTTGGAGCAGTGGCTTCTTCCTTGCTGAGCGGCTTTTCAGGTTATGTCAATATAGGACTCATTTTACTGTGGATATAGATACCTTTGTATCCGTTTCCTCCAGCATCTTCACAAGGTCCTTTGCTGTTGTTCTGGGATTGATTTGCACTTTTCGCACCAAAGTACGTTCATCTCTAGGAGACAGAACGCGTCTCCTTCCTGAGCAGTATGACGGCTGTGTGGTCCCATGGTGTTTATACTTGCGTACTATTGTTTGTAAAGATTAGCGTGGTACCTTCAGGCGTTTGGAAATTGCTCTCAAGGATGAACCAGACTTGTGGAAGTCTACAAAAAAAAATTCTGAGGTCTTGGCTGATTTCTTTTGATTTTCCCATGATGTCAAGCAAAGAGGCACTGAGTTTGAAGGTAGGCCTTGAAATACATCCACAGGTACACCTCCAATTGACTCACATTATGTTAATTAGCCTATCAGAAGCTTCTAAACCATGACATTTTTTTCCAAGCTGTTTAAAGGCACCGTCGACTTAGTGTATTGTGACTTAGTGGAATTGTGATACAGTGAATTATAAGTGAAATAATCTGTCTGTAAACAATTGTTGGAAAAATGACTTGTGTCATGCACAAAGTAGATGTCCTAACCGACTTTCCAAAACTATAGTTTGTTAACAAGAAATTTGTGGAGTGGTTGAAAAACGAGTTTTAATGACTCCAACCTAAGTGTATGTAAACTTCCGACTTCAACTGTATATAAAAGTATGTGGACATTTCAGCCACACCCGTTGCTGACAGATGTATAAAACTGAGCACACAGCCATGTATTCTCCATACACAAACATTGGCAGTAGAATGGCCTTACTGAAGAGCTCAGTGACTTTCAACATGGCACCATCATAGGATGCCACCTTTCCCGGTCAACTGTAAGTACTGTTATTGTGAAGTGGAAACGGTTAGGAGCAACAACGACTCAGTCGCGAAGTGATAGGCCACACTAGCTCACAGAACGGGACCGCCGAGTGCTGAAGCACGTAGTGCGTAAAAATAGTCTGTCCTCGGTTGCAACACTCACTACCGAGTTCCAAACTGCCTCTGGAAGCAAAGTCAGCACAAGAACTGTTCATCGGGAGCTTCATGAAATGGGTTTCCATGGCCGAGCAGCCACACACAAGCCTAAGACCAAAGCAAAGCGTCGGCTGGAGTGTTGTAAAGCTCGCCGCCATTGGACTCTGGAGCAGTGGAAATGTGTTCTCTGCAGTGATGAATCACGCTTCACCATCTGGCAGTCCAACGGACGAATCTGGATTTGGCGGATGCCAGGAGAACGCTATCTGCCCCAATGTATAGTGCCAACTGTAAAGTTTGGTGGAGGAGGAATAATGGTCTGGGGCTGTTTTTCATTGTTCGGACTAGGCCCCTTAGTTCCAGTGAAGTGAAATATTAATGCTACAGCATACAATGACATTCTAGACGATTATGTGCTTCTAACTTTGTGGCAACAGTTTGGGGAAGGCCCTTTCCTGTTTCAGCATGACAATGCCCCCATGCACAAAGCGAGATCCATACAGAAATGGTTTGTCGAGATCAGTATGGAAGAACTTGACTGGCCTGCACAGAGCCCTGACCTCAACCCCATCGAACACCTTTGGGATAAATTGGAACGCCAACTGCAAGCCAGGCCTAATCGCCCAACATCAGTTCCTGACCTCACTAATGCTCTTGAGGCTGAATGGAAGCAAGTCCCCGCAGCAATGATCCAACATCTAGTGGAAACCCTCCCCAGAAGAGTGGAGGCTGTTATAGCAGTAAAGGGGGGACCAACTCCATATTAATGCCCATGATTTTGGAATGAGATGTTCGAAGAGCAGGTGTCCATATACCTTTGGTCATGTAGTGAATGAAGCCCTGAGAGCTATATTATAGGCTCTTAGTGACAGGGAGCAAGTAACCCAATGCCAAACCATTTAACTATCTGTTGTTTGCCTTCAGAGTCAGACGTGGCAGACTTTGATGGCAGAAGCTCCCTGCTCTACCGGTTTAACCAGAAGTCCATGAGCACGGTGAAGGATGTGATCTCGCTGAGCTTCAAGAGCCACCAGGCTGAGGGGGTGCTGCTCCACGGAGAGGGTCAGAGGGGCGACTACATCACTCTGGAGCTGCACCGGGGCAGGTTGGCCCTCTACCTCAACCTGGGTGAGTTAGTCACACCGGGGCAGGTTGGCCCTCTACCTCAACCTGGGTGAGTTAGTCACACCGGGGCAGGCTGGTCCTCTATTTCAACCTGGGTGAGTTAGTCACACCGGGGCAGGTTGGCCCTCTACATCAACCTGGGTGAGTTAGTCACACCGGGGCAGGCTGGCCCTCTACATCAACCTGGGTAAGTCACTGGCCCTGTACCTCAACTTGGCTCAAATAGGTCAGGGGTTAGAGGTTAGAGGTCATGGCTAAGAGGACACAAGGGGCTCGGGCTATAGATAGAAGAGTCTTTTGAACCATTTAAAAGCAGACTGAGGAGCAGTCTGGGAGGGTAACTGGATGTTTGTGTTCTGATACTCTTCCAGTTACCACTGCTCCTGAGCTCCATTTACAAGATAGACTCAGACTGTTAAGCATCCATATTGTGAGCAGCTGAGCTGGGAAAGAGTATTCTTAAATGGCTGTCTTGTCTGCACTTCCTATGAGAGCACCTCTTCTTTCAATACAGTCCCTATGGCAACTGTATAATGTTCAATATTAACAACCATGAGATCCACATCGTGAACAGCTGAGTCTGGGGAACACTGTTCTAGTAGTCCGTTTTGGGAATGTCTGATGAGCACATTCTTTCAGACCTCCTCTTTCCTCAATATACTGTACTGTTTTATGATCTATATCAAAGTAACCATATTATCTGTTCTCTGTCTGTTCTCTGTCTTCAGATGACACCAGGCTGTGGTTCAGCAGTGGTCGTGTTGCGGTCACTCTCAGCAGTCTTCTGGACGATCAGCACTGGCACTCTGTCCTCATCGAGCGCTTCAACAAGCAGGTCAACCTCACCGTGGACACCCACACACAGCACTTCAGGACCAAGGGGGAAGGAGACTCTCTGGAGGTGGACTATGAGGTGTGTCTATCCAAACATCCAGAATATTCCTTTACAGTAGGTCACACACTATAGAATAGTCAGACACTTCAGACCAAGTAAATAGTTCAACCAAGTTATCTTACTAAATGTGGCAATTTTGAAGTCATCTTAGTTACTGTATACGTTTCTAATAATGATGTCAACATTTCACCCTTTTTCCTCATCATAGCTCAGCTTCGGGGGCATCCCACTGCCAGGTAAGCCTGGTACCTTCCTGAGGAAGAACTTCCATGGCTGCATGGAGAACCTCTACTACAATGGGATCAACATCATCGACCTAGCCAAGCGACGCAAGCCTCAGATCTACAGCGTGGTAAGACAACCATTCTCATCCAACCGTACCATAGATTATTAGTACATCCTTAAAATAGTATGGGAACAAAGTAGTTAATCAACCAAGGCCTCTGTGAACTCACAGACTGTTTTAATTGCACTGTTGCAGTGAGATTTCACGTTTGCCTACAATGTGATTCGACTACGTTTAATCACATTTGTATTTGAGTTAGTCACATAGCTTTCTCCATGGTTCCTTAAACTGTAAGAGATCCAGGGCAGAGACACTGTCCGTAGAGGAAAACATTGAGTGAGAAAACCAATCTATACTCTCTGTACCCTTTAGTTCTATCTGCCCCTCACTATTATGGCATTCATTCTAAACCCATGAATAGACCCCCCCCCCCCCCCCCCCCCCCCCCCCCATCAAATCAGACAGAAGCCAAAGTGCCACATAATTGCATCACAGACACCTTTTTTTTCCCTTGAAATTCTGATTGCTATGTTAAAAGGCCTTTACTTACAAGTCCCAATTTTGCCCCAATTTTGCTCACTGACTGCCATGATGGAATCCGTAATGGAATTTCAATGTGGAATACTACCTGAGGTGGTAGTCTGGTGGTGATGGATCACATTGAGAGTCAAGTGCTGCCGATTGCCCTTCCCTGCCTCTGAGACTCTGGGATTGATGGGCCGCTGACCTTAATTGACATGGCTGCTCTTTTGCTCCATGTACCTCACAAGGCCTCTGGACCACATGGAATTAGTGTGTTCTTTCTTTGCCCACCTGACGGCCGACCTAGATTGGAGGGGAGAAACTCAGAAATGTCATAGTTTGATATTATATTACATTTCTGCATTTGTTGTCCTCTTGTAATGCACCTTTTGAATTTCAGATAGTCATTCACCTTTATATGGCATTCTCAAGGAATCATTTGGTTCTTGCAGGCAATTTAGTTATCTGAGTACCATATTCAGTAAATACCTTCCTTTATCAGCCCACTGTTTGTCATTCTGCTCAGATGAATGGTACCGTAAAAGTACAGTAAACCCACATGAGATTCATTATGAATTCATCATGTTGATGAAGGTGTGAGTAAATAATTCCATTATCTGTGTGTTCCATGTGTGTCTCCAGGGCAACGTGACCTTTTCGTGCTCTGAGCCCCAGCTGGTGTCCACTACCTTCCTGAGCTCCAGCAGCAGCTTCCTGTCGCTCCCGGCCATGCCGTCTGCTTCGGGGGGCTTCACGGTGCGTTTCCAGTTCAGAACGTGGAACCCAGACGGGCTACTGCTCTCCACCCGGCTGCCCCTGGAGCCCCAGAGACTGGAGCTGCACATCAGCAACAGTCGGCTGCGCCTGACCCACCACATGTCAGCCCAGCAGAAAGAAGAGGTCTCCACCGGTGAGGGCCAACAGCCTCTAGTCTAGCTGACCCAGGAATCAGTGGTTCTGTTTATGGGGACTCAGAGTATAAAAGGCTCTTTATTCCAGTGAAGCAGGCAGACAGTGAGAAACTCATTCATCATCCAGGCGGAGACCGTCTGTGTTTGGTTTTGCACATCATTTCATCTACATCATTTATATTACCTTTTGCCCCCTATAAAGTCAGAGGACACTTCATCTTCTTTGAATGGCTTGAGATAAAATGCCATCCTTTATATCTTGTGTTTTGGATGCCAGTTCTACAGGATTGCAGTCAGACAGAAATAACCTGTAGAATTACGTTGGATTGCAGAGCCCAGACTTTCAGCAGATGGCAGGCAGAGAGGGAATTAGAGACCCACAGAAAGACCGCCACAGCTTGGAAAGACCTTCCCTATAAAGGACAATCAAAATTCACATCCCACATTCTGCTGTTACGTCTATTTGAAGCTGGAACTGACGGCCAAATCAATGTTTCATCCAACAATAACCACCAGTACAGTCACAGCATTACATTCTGTCCTCTGGCAATGATTTAGCTTCAATCTGACCAACCACATAGTCATTCATTTTCATTTACATGTCCTCTTCCCGTCATAGTACAGTGTCGTATGTCGTAACACGTGACCATAGATTACACAGCGAATGACGGGCTCTGATTTGCAATATGTAGGCCTAGTACGAACAATGTAATCTAAAATATTACCCATGTTGGAGATCCCAATCCCAACAGTCCCTGAAAGAACCTGCAAGTGATGTTTGATAAGCCTGTAATAGAGATTGGTAGTGTCTCATTGAAATGTAACGTGCACAGAAACGACACCTCGCTGTGTCCACAGGTCACAGAGTGAATGATGGACTGTGGCACTCTGCGAGTCTCAGCTCCCGAGGTCTCCAGGTCACCATGACTCTGGACAACGAGCCGTCCTCAGCCATTGAGCTGGGGGACCACATGGAGGCAGGAGACAGCCTCTACTTCGGAGGTAAGGCCACACAATGAGTCTTCTTGTCTGCATCACAGTCTCATGAGACCAGGTCTTGGTGGTCAGGTCTTGGTGCAGCATCTGAATAAATTATCTGAAGATGTATACAGGAAATGCTGGATGATGAAAATACCATGATTTAGTTTTTCAATCTGTGTCACAGGTTGTCCCTCTCTGAACGTCTCAGGCTGTGAGAACCCCAAGTTGGCGTTCCAGGGGTGCATGCGTCTCTTCTCCATCAACAGCCAGCCCATGGACCTGAACCTGGTGCACCAAGGACGGCTAGGAGACTACAAGGAGCTGCAGTTTGACACATGTGGCATCCATGACAGGTAAGACTTTAGGGTTTTTGCTTCTGCAGACTGTATACCAAGTAAGGTGGCGCTCCAATCCCCAAATGTTGGTGTGTTTGGATGACAAACTAAGACAGAAGCTGCTTCCTGTGTGGCGCGTTGCATCTTCTCTGTCCCTTATTGCCCCACCGTGTTGTGGGAACGATGGGTGGGATTAGTACACACTGAATGGATGTCATGGCAAAGTTGAGGAAACCTGCAACACTTACAGGGAGAAGACAAACAAAGGAGTTGGTGCTTCTCCTTGTACTCACCCTGAGGGGAATCCTACCTCTGATGTCAGGTCGCAGCTATACCTGATTGTTCTGTTTGCTATGCTAACCCGCAGACTGAGAATGCTGTTGGAGTGTGTGGAACAATTACAGATTAAATGTTAGTTGATGTTAGTTAAAGCGAATGGAATGTGTAAAAAGTGGGAATGAGAAGCTTGGTGACAACAAAACAGCTGTCTCTGTGTATTGGCTACCTCTCATGGAGCCTTCCACAAAGAGTATGCTGAGAGTATGCACAAAGAGTATGCTGAGAGTATGCACAAAGAGTATGCTGAGAGTATGCACAAAGAGTATGCTGAGAGTATGCACAAAGAGTATGCTGAGCGTATGCACAAAGAGTATGCTGAGAGTATGCACAAATAGTATGCTGAGAGTATGCACAAAGAGTATGCTCAGAGTATGCACAAAGAGTATGCTGAGAGTATGCACAAAGAGTATGCTGAGAGTATGCACAAAGAGTATACTGAGAGTATGCACAAAGAGTATGCTGAGAGTATGCACAAAGAGTATGCTGAGAGAATGTGTTGTGTATTTCACTACCACGCAATATTACCCTTTGTTTTAGGGAGGTTAGTGCGACCAGACCGTTGGAAATATTTAATCGTAACAACCAGAACTATGCTTCATTAAAGGATTGGAAGATTAACCTTTACGAGTGCTAATCTCCTTTTCACTGTGTCCAATCAAACTTCATGACTACAGTTTTTGCAAGTGTGCACTTCTGTAAATTCATGACCCGTGAGGGCAGCCGCGAACACAACAATTGAAATAGCTCTACAGTAATAAAACCATGGCCTGCAACCTTACCCACGCCATGGTCACTCCGCTCCATGGCAATTAATGGGAGAGAGACTAAAGTGTATGAAATTGTAGATGCGTGCTTGAAAGCCGGGCGATTACGCAAAACTGAAGGAGGCTTGAGGAAGAGACTATTAATCAGGAAAGCATGGTTATGAGAGGAATATCCGTGAAGCGCTGGGTGTTCAAATCCCATAAACACATGTTCTGGGTTTGATTTGATTATGCTGCCGTTTCTTTTTTTCAAACACAATAGCACAGGACTGTGTTTGTTTACCAGTTGCCCCAACAATCTGAGTTGGAAGGGTACCAATTCATTTGGGATTTACCGAGCGGTCTTGTAAATCATAACAAAACAATGGAAAAAGAAAAATGAATAAACTGTGTCGTCTCACCTCTTGAGTACTCGGGTGTCGGAACGTTCCTTGATAATGACAAGGAAATGAAAAATGTATTGGGAGGGAGTGTCCTTACCAGATCATGAAAGATAGTAGGCCTCAACACAAAGACAAACCATGTTTTTGCTCTTCATTACAAAAAGGATTGGTAGATCTTACATGTTTGGGCTTTGATTGAATTTCTTTCGTTGCCAACACTTTATCCTTCTCAGACTTTTCATTGTGTGATTGTTTGTGTTTATTACTGGGGAAAAAAGTTTATAATCTTTCAAACAAATAACTAGTATATGTTACATCAATTACAAACATAAATTTGTATAATATACATATTACATCAATCTCTGAGATTGTAAAAACAGATTTGCAGGTGTTTTTCTACCTTATCAAATCTTTTGAAATTATTATTTTTTATTTTATTTTGAATAACCTGGCATTTGCTCATGCATAGTATAGATATGTATATACAGTACCAGTCAAAAGTTTGTACACACCTACTCATCCAAAAAAGAGTTAAACAAATGAGATTCTTCAAAGACACGGCGGTTGGAACCAAAAATCTCCAATTTGGACTCCAGACCAAATGACACATTTCCACCGGTCTAATGTCCATTGCTCTTGTTTCTTGGCCCAAGCAGGTCTGTTCTTCTTCTTGGTGTCCTTTAGTAGTGGTTTCTTTGCAGCAATTCGACCATGAAGGCCTGATTCACACAGTCCCCTCTGAACAGTTGATGTTGTTTGTGATTTGAACTCTGTGAAGCATTTATTTGGGCTGCAATTTCTGAGGCTGGTAACTCTAATGAACTTATCATCTGCAGCAGAGGTAACTCTGTGTCTTCCATTCCTGTTGCGGTCCTCATGAGATCCAGTTTCATCATAGCGCTTGATGGTTTTTGTGACTGCACTTGAAGAATCTTTCAAAGTTCTTGAAATGTTCCATTTTTACTGACCTTCATGTCTTAAAGTAATGATGGGCTGTTGTTTCTCTTTGCTTATTTGAGCTGTTCTTGCCATAATATGGACTTGGTCTTTTACCAAATAGGGCTATCTTCCATTTTTACTGACCTTCATGTCTTAAAGTAATGATGGGCTGTTGTTTCTCCTTGCAAATTAACTTTTAAGAAGGCACACCTGTCAATTGAAATGCATTCCAGGTGATTACATCATGAAGCTGGTTGAGAGAATGCCAAGAGTGTGCAAAGCTGTCATCAAGGCAAAGGGTGGCTATTTGAAGAATTTGTTTAACACTTTTTGGGGTTACTACTTGATTCCATATGTGTTATTTCATAGTTTTGATGTCTTCACTATTATTCTACAATGTACAAAAATCGTAAAAATAAAGAAAAACCCTTGAATGAGTAGGTGTGTCCAAACTTTTGACTGGTAGTGTACATGGTAACATAATGTATATTTTTGCTGTTGCCTGTCTCCAGATGTCTGCCAAACCTCTGTGAACATGGAGGGCAGTGTTCCCAGTCCTGGAGCAGCTTCTACTGCGACTGCTCTGGGACAGGATACACCGGAGCCACCTGCCACAACTGTGAGTCACCGCCTGCTCTTCTTACCTACACTATATACAATACCTTACAGTAACACACACCACCCCTTTCTCAAACTTGTTCTTGACGATACTGCACAATACACACCATGCACAGGATATGCACAATATTTAAATGCATCTCACAATCACATAGAGCTGTTATCCATGTGCTGCCCTCGTTATAAAGCGTCATTCAAAGGGGTGGGTAACAACATGAGATGGTTGAAAGCCAGAGTGAACCTGTAGTGATCAGTCCCCTGGTATTCTGCCTGGCTTAACTACCTGGGTCTCAGGTAAACCCTGTTAGTTGTACATCGAGATCCTCAGTCTGACACATGGACGTTTCTCCTCCCATCTGTCGTCTCCAGACATGTACAAACTCCCTTTTTGATATTCACCACCGAGCGCTCCCAGAACCCTCTGCCCCTGAATACTGATTTCATGTTTATTCGCCAGCGGATGCAGTGTACCTTGATATGAATGTGCACCACATGATTGAAAATGTCCCCACTTACTTCAAACATACTCTTTATATGCATAATGGTGTCTGGCTTGCTACCTTTTCTTAGTTATGCATATGTGTGCAATATGACATATGCAATATGGGAAGGCTACAACATTAGTATGACCAGGTCTAATTGTGTTGCTATGTACTATGGATCCCCATTAGTTCCTACCAAGGCAGCAGCTACTCTTCCTGGGGTTTATTATGGATCCCCATTAGTTCCTGCCAAGGCAGTAGGTACTCTTCCTGGGGTTTATTATGGATCCCCATTAGTTCCTGGGGGGACTCCTGGGTTTATTATGGATCCCCATTAGTTCCTGCCAAGGCAGTAGGTACTCTTCCTGGGGTTTATTATGGATCCCCATTAGTTCCTGCCAAGGCAGCAGGTACTCTTCCTGGGGTTTATTATGGATCCCCACTAGTTCCTGCCAAGGCAGCAGCTACTCTTCCTGGGGTTTATTATGGATCCCCATTAGTTCCTGCCAAGGCAGCAGGTACTCTTCCTGGGGTTTATTATGGATCCCCATTAGTTCCTGCCGAGGCAGCAGGTACTCTTCCTGGGGTTTATTATGGATCCCCATTAGTTCCTGCCAAGGCAGCAGGTACTCTTCCTGGGGTTTATTATGGATCCCCATTAGTTCCTGTCAAGGCAGCAGGTACTCTTCCAGGGGTCCAGCAAAATCAACACAGTTATACAATTTTAAAAACATTACAATACATTTCACAACAGAAGAAACCTCTGGTGGCATGTCTTGTGGGGTATGCATGGGTGTCCAACAGCTAGGTGCATTCAACATGTCAATACCTCTCACAAATACAAATAGTGGTGAAGTCAATCTCTCCTCTACTTTGAGCCAGGAGAGATTGACGTGCATATTTTAATGTTAGCTCTCCTTGTACATTTAAGGGCCAGCCGTGCTGCCCTGTTCTGGGCCAATTGTAATTTTCCTAACTCCCTCATTGTTGCACCTGACCACATGACTGGACAGTAGTCCAGGTGCGACAAAACTAGGGTCTGTAGGACCTGCCCTGTTGATAGCATTGTTAAGAAGACAGAGCAGCGCTTTATTATGAATAGATCTTAGCTCCCCATCTTAGCTACTGTTGTATCAACATGTTTTGACCATAACAGTTTACCATCCAGGGTTACTCCAAGCAGTTTAGTCTCCTCAGCTTGATCAATTTCCAAATTATTCATAACAATATTTAGTAGAGTTTTTTTTTTTTTTTTCCTTTATTTAACCAGGTAAGCCAGTTGAGAACAAGTTCTCATTTACAACTGCGACCTGGCCAAGATAAAGCAAAGCAGTGCGATAAAAACAACAACACAGAGTTACACATGGGATAAAACAAAACATACAGTCAATAACACAATAGAAAATCTATATACAGTGTGTGAAAATGTAGTAAGTTATTGAGGTAAGGCCGTAGTGCAAAAATAATTAATAGGCCGTAGTGCAAAATAATTACAATTTAGAGTATTAACACTGGAATGATAGATGTGCAGAAGATGATGTGCAAATAGAGATACTGGGGTGCAAATGAGCAAAATAAATACAGTGGGGAAAAAAAGTATTTAGTCAGCCACCAATTGTGCAAGTTCTCCCACTTAAAAAGATGAGAGAGGCCTGTAATTTTCATCATAGGTACACGTCAACTTTGACAGACAAATTGAGAAAAAAAAATCCAGAATATCACATTGTTGGATTTGTTATGAATTTATTTGCAAATTATGGTGGAAAATAAGTATTTGGTCACCTACAAACAAGCAAGATTTCTGGCTCTCACAGACCTGTAACTTCTTTTTTAAGAGGCTCCTCTGTCCTCCACTCGTTACCTGTATTAATGGCACCTGTTTGAACTTGTTATCAGTATAAAAGACACCTGTCCACAACCTCAAACAGTCACACTCCAAACTCCACTATGGCCAAGACCAAAGAGCTGTCAAAGGACACCAGCAACAAAATTGTAGACCTGCACCAGGCTGGGAAGACTGAATCTGCAATAGGTAAGCAGCTTGGTTTGAAGAAATCAACTGTGGGAGCAATTATTAGGAAATGGAAGACATACAAGACCACTGATAATCTCCCTCGATCTGGGGCTCCACGCAAGATCTCACCCCGTGGGGTCAAAATGATCACAAGAACGGTGAGCAAAAATCCCAGAACCACACGGGGGGACCTAGTGAATGACCTGCAGAGAGCTGGGACCAAAGTAACAAAGCCTACCATCAGTAACACACTACGCCGCCAGGGACTCAAATCCTGCAGTGCCAGACGTGTCCCCCTGCTTAAGCCAGTACATGTCCAGGCCCGTCTGAAGTTTGCTAGAGTGCATTTGGATGATCCATAAGAGGATTGGGAGAATGTCATATGGTCAGATGAAACCAAAATAGAACTTTTTGGTAAAAACTCAACTCGTCGTGTTTGGAGGACAAAGAATGCTGAGTTGCATCCAAAGAACACCATACCTACTGTGAAGCATGGGGGTGGAAACATCATGCTTTGGGGCTGTTTTTCTGCAAAGGGACCAGGACGACTGATCCGTGTAAAGGAAAGAATGAATGGGGCCATGTATCGTGAGATTTTGAGTGAAAACCTCCTTCCATCAGCAAGGGCATTGAAGATGAAACGTGGCTGGGTCTTTCAGCATGACAATGATCCCAAACACACCACCCGGGCAACGAAGGAGTGGCTTCGTAAGAAGCATTTCAAGGTCCTGGAGTGGCCTAGCCAGTCTCCAGATCTCAACCCCATAGAAAATCTTTGGAGGGAGTTGAAAGTCCGTGTTGCCCAGCGACAGCCCCAAAACATCACTGCTCTAGAGGAGATCTGCATGGAGGAATGGGCCAAAATACCAGCAACAGTGTGTGAAAACCTTGTGAAGACTTACAGAAAACGTTTGACCTGTGTCATTGCCAACAAAGGGTATATAACAAAGTATTGAGAAACTTTTGTTATTGACCAAATACTTATTTTCCACCATAATTTGCAAATAAAATCATTAAAAATCCTACAATGTGATTTTCTGGATTTTTTTTCCTCATTTTGTCTGTCATAGTTGACGTGTACCTATGATGAAAATGACAGGCCTCTCTCATCTTTTTAAGTGGGAGAACTTGCACAATTGGTGGCTGACTAAATACTTTTTTTCCCCACTGTAACAATGTGGGGATGAGGTAGTTGGGTGGGCTAATTACAGATGGGCTGTGTACAGGTGAATGATTTGTCCCAAATACAATGCTTTTAGTTTTTGAAATATTTAGCACTAACTTATTTCTTACCACCCATTCTGAAACTGACTGCAGCTCTTTAAGTGTTGCAGTAATTTCACTTGCTGTAGTAGCTGACGTGTATAGTGTTGAGTCATCAGCATACATAGACACAAAGACTTTACTCAGAGCCAGTGGCAGGTCATTAGTAAAGATTGAAAAAAGTAAGGGGCCTAGACAGCTGCCCTGGGGAATGTATGCACTCACTAACTGTAAATCGCTCTGGATAAGAGCGTCTGCTAAATGACTAAAAATGTAAATGTAAAATGAATGTAAAGCCATAAAACATACGTTTTTCCAGCAGCAGATTATGATTGATAATGTCAAAAGCTGCACTGAAGTCTAACAAAACAGCTCCCACAATATCTTTATTATCAATTTCTCTCAGCCAATCATCAGTCATTTGTGTAAGCGGCATACATGTTGAATGCCCTTTCCTATAAGTGTGCATAAAATCTCTTGTTAATTTGTTTACTGTGAAATAGCATTGTATCTGATAAAAACACCTTTTTTCACAAAAGTTTACTAAGGGTTGGTAACAGGCTGACTGTTTGGCTGTTTGAGCCAGTAAAGGGTGCTTTGTTGTTCTTGGGTAGCGGAATGACTTTTGCTTACCTCCAGGCCTAAGGGCACACTCTTTCCTGTAGGCTTAGTTTGAAGAGATGGCAAATAGGAGTGGCAATATCGTCCGCTATTTTCCTCCAGATTGTCAGACCCCGGTGGCTTGTTATTGTTGATAGACAAGAATACTTATTTTCACCTCTTCCACACTCACTTTAAGGAATTCAAAATTACTATGCTTGTCTTTCACAAGTTGGTCAGTTATACTTGGATGTGTAGGTTCATATAAAGCATGTATAAAGCATGTACACTACCGTTCAAGAGTTTGGGGTCACTTAGAAATGTCCTTGTTTTCGAAAGAAAAGCACATTTTTTGTCCATTTAAAATAACATTGTAAATGTTGTAAATGGCTATTGTAGCTGGAAACGGCTGATTTTTTATGGAATATCTACATACAGTGAGGGAAAAAAGTATTTGATCCCCTGCTGATTTTGTACGTTTGCCCACTGACAAAGACATGATCAGTCTATAATTTTAATGGTAGGGTTATTTCAACAGTGAGAGACAGAATAACAATAACAAAAATCCTGAAAACACATGTCAAAAATGTTATAAATTGATTTGCATTTTAATGAGGGAAATAAGTATTTGACCCCCTCTCAATCAGAAAGATTTCTGGTTCCCAGGTGTCTTTTATACAGGTAACGAGCTGAGATTAGGAGCACACTCTTCACCTTGTGGAGTTGCAATGATCATGAGAACGGTGAGGAATCAGCCCAGAACTACACGGGAGGATCTTGTCAATTATCTCAAGGCAGCTGGGACCATAGTCACCAAGAAAACAATTGGTAACACACTACGCCGTGAAGGACTGAAATCCTGGAGCGCCCGCAAGGTCCCCCTGCTCAAGAAAGCACATATACAGGCCCGTCGGAAGTTTGCCAGTAAACATCTGAATGATTCAGAGGAGAACTTGGTGAAAGTGTTGTGGTCAGATGAGACCAAAACCGAGCTCTTTGGCATCAACTCAACTCGCCGTGTTTGGAGGAGGAGGAATGCTGCCTATGACCCCAAGAACACCATCCCCACCGTCAAACATGGAGGTGGAAACATCATGCTTTGGGGGTGTTTTTCTGCTAAGGGGACAGGACAACTTCACCGCATCAAAGGGACGATGGACGGGGCCATGTACCGTCAAATCTTGGGTGAGAACCTCCTTCCCTCAGCCAGGGCATTGAAAATGGTTTCGTGGATGGGTATTCCAGCATGACAATGACCCAAAACACACAGCCAAGGCATCAAAGGAGTGGCTCAAGAAGAAGCACATTAAGGTCCTGGAGTGGCCTAGCCAGTCTCCAGACCTAATCCCATAGGAAATCTGTGGAGGGAGCTGAAGGTTCGAGTTGCCAAACATCAGCCTCGAAACCTTAATGACTTGCAGAAGATCTGCAAAGAGGAGTGGAACAAAATCCCTCCTGAGATGTGTGCAAATCTGGTGGCCAACTACAAGAAACGTCTGACCTCTGTGATTGCCAACAAGGGTTTTGCCACCAAGTACTAAGTCATGTTTTGCAGAGGGGTCAAATACTTATTTCCCTCATTAAAATGCAAATCAATTTATAACATTTTTGACATGTGTTTTCAGGATTTTTGTTATTGTTATTCTGTCTCTCACTGTTGAAATAACCCTACCATTAAAATTATAGACTGATCATGTCTTTGTCAGTGGGCAAACGTACAAAATCAGCAGGGGATCAAATACTTTTTTCCCTCACTGTAGGTGTACAGAGGCCCATTATCAGCAACCATCAGTCCTGTGTTCCAATAGCACGTTGTGTTTGCTAATCCAAGTTTATCATTTCAAAAGGTTAATTGATCAATAGAAAATCTTTTTGCAATTATGTTAGCACAGCTGAAAACTGTTGTGCTGATTAAAGAAGCATAAAAACTGGCCTTCTTGAGACTAGTTGAGTATCTGGTGCATCAGCAATTGTGGGCTCGATTACAGGCTCAAAATGGCCAGAAACAAATAACTTTCTTCTGAAACTCGTCAGTCTATTCTTGTTCTGAGAAATGAAGGCTATTCCATGCGAGAAATTGCCAAGAAACTGAAGTTCTCGTACAACGCTGTGTACTACTCCCTTCACAGAACAGAGCAAACTGGCTCTAACCAGAATAGAAAGAGGAGTGGGAGGCCCCGGTGCACAACTGAGCAAGAGGACAAATACATTAGAGTGTCTAGTTTGAGAAACAGACGCCTCACAGGTCCTCCTCAACTGGCAGCTTCATTAAATAGTACCCGCAAAACACCAGTCTCAACGTCAACAGTGAAGAGGTGACTCCGGGATGCTGACCTTCTAGGCAGAGTTGCAAAGAAAAAGCCATATGTCAGACTGGCCAATAAAAAGAAAAGATTAAGAATGGCAAAAGAACACAGACACTGGACAGAAGAAGATTGGAAAAAAGTGTTATGGACAGACAAATCAAAGTTTGAGGTGTTCAGATCACAAAGAAGAACATTTGTGAGACTCAGACCAAATGAAAAGATGCTGGAGGAGTGCTTGATGCCATCTGTCATGCATGGTGGAGGCAATGTGATGGTCTGGGGGTGCTTTGGTGGTGGTAAAGTGGGAGATTTGTACAGGGTAAAAGGGATCTTGAAGAAGGAAGGCTATCACTCCATTTTGCAAAGCCATGCCATACCCTGTGGACGGCGCTTGATTCGAGCCAATTTCCTCCTACAACAGGACAATGACCCAAAGCACAGCTCCAAACTATGCAGTAACTATTTAGGGAAGAAGCAGTCAGCTGGTATTCTGTCTATAATGGAGTGGTTATCACAGTCACCGGATCTCAACCCTATTGAGCTGTTGTGGGAGCAGCTTGACCGTATGGTATGTAAGAAGTGCCCATCAAGCCAATCCAACTTGTGGGAGGTGCTTCAGGAAGCAAGGGGTGAAATCTCTTCAGATTACCTCAACAAATTGACAACTAGAATGCAGGACACAATTATTATTTCAATTAAAAATCATTATTTCTAACCTTGTCAATGACTACATTCACTATGCATTTTGCTATATTTCCTATTCAAACTCATTTCATATATGTTTTCATGGAAAACAAGGATATTTCTAAGTGACCCCAAACTTTTGAAGGGTAGTGTATATTAATGTACCATATATTATATTCATATTTTCTAAATGTAGATGTCTGTGTTTTTGAGTCTAGCAACTAATAACCACTCAGTACTATTGCAAATTTGCCAGCCACTTTGCAATTATGTTACATGCTACCCAATACAATAGTTTTTCAACTTTCTCACCAAATTTCTGTCAGACATTTGAGAGCATGATCTATCCCTGTGTTCCTCTGTAGCCATCTATGAGGCATCATGTATCCCTGTGCTCCTCTGTAGCCATCTATGAGGCATGATGTATCCCTGTGCTCCTCTGTAGCCATCTATGAGGCATGATGTATCCCTGTGCTCCTCTGTAGCCATCTATGAGGCATCATGTATCCCTGTGTTCCTCTGTAGCCATCTATGAGGCATGATGTATCCCTGTGTTCCTCTGTAGCCATCTATGAGGCATGATGTATCCCTGTGTTCCTCTGTAGCCATCTATGAGGCATGATGTATCCCTGTGCTCCTCTGTAGCCATCTATGAGGCATGATGTATCCCTGTGTTCCTCTGTAGCCATCTATGAGGCATGATGTATCCCTGTGTTCCTCTGTAGCCATCTATGAGGCATGATGTATCCCTGTGCTCCTCTGTAGCCATCTATGAGGCATCATGTATCCCTGTGTTCCTCTGTAGCCATCTATGAGGCATGATGTATCCCTGTGTTCCTCTGTAGCCATCTATGAGGCATGATGTATCCCTGTGTTCCTCTGTAGCCATCTATGAGGCATGATGTATCCCTGTGTTCCTCTGTAGCCATCTATGAGGCATCATGTATCCCTGTGTTCCTCTGTAGCCATCTATGAGGCATGATGTATCCCTGTGTTCCTCTGTAGCCATCTATGAGGCATGATGTATCCCTGTGTTCCTCTGTAGCCATCTATGAGGCATGATGTATACCTGTGTTCCTCTGTAGCCATCTACGAGGCATCATGTATCCCTGTGTTCCTCTGTAGCCATCTATGAGGCATCATGTATCCCTGTGTTCCTCTGTAGCCATCTATGAGGCATGATGTATCCATGTGTTTCTCTGTAGCCATCTATGAGGCATCATGTATCCCTGTGTTCCTCTGTAGCCATCTATGAGGCATGATGTATCCCTGTGTTCCTCTGTAGCCATCTATGAGGCATCATGTATCCCTGTGTTCCTCTGTAGCCATCTATAAGGCATGATGTATCCCTGTGTTCCTCTGTAGCCATCTATGTGGCATCATGTATCCCTGTGTTCTTCTGTAGCCATCTATGAGGCATGATGTATCCCTGTGTTCCTCTGTAGCCATCTATGAGGCATGATGTATCCCTGTGTTCCTCTGTAGCCATCTATGAGGCATCATGTATCCCTGGGTTCCTCTGTAGCTATATATGAGGCATCATGTATCCCTATGTTCCTCTGTAGCCATCTATGAGGCATGATGTATCCCTGTGTTCCTCTGTAGCCATCTATGAGGCATCGTGTATCCCTGTGTTCCTCTGTAGCCATCTATGAGGCATCATGTATCCCTGTGTTCCTCTGTAGCCATCTATGAGGCATCATGTATCCCTGTGTTCCTCTTTAGCCATCTATGAGGCATCATGTATCCCTGTGTTCTTCTGTAGCCATCTATGAGGCATGATGTATCCCTGTGTTCCTCTGTAGCTATCTATGAGGCATGATGTATCCCTGTGTTCCTCTGTAGCCATCTATGAGGCATCATGTGAGGCCTACCGGCTGACTGGCAGCTCCTCAGGCTACTTCTCCATTGATCCAGATGGCAGTGGTCCTCTGGCGCCCACACAGGTCTACTGCAACATGACAGGTGAGCTGCCACTGGGGACCCCAGCCCTGTCATCACCTCTCTGCAATCCCCTGAATCCCACAATACCTCTAAGTTCATGTCATAGGAGAGTCTTGGTAAACAATATCTGATTCAGTCACTGACAGATCACATTGCTTTGACCCACAGCACAATTGACAGCCAAGCTATCAAGTGGAAAATCATTAGGGTTACTCGATATGGACTCGCCCTTTGGTTACAATGAGAGCTTCAAATAAAGATTTGGGTAAATCTCTGCTGTAAATAAGACATTATTTGTGTAAAAGTGCGCAAAATTACACAAAAACTAAAGTGAATGCACATAAAAAATACCAGGGCTCTGATTCAAGTCTGTGTCTCATGTCTTCAGGGATTTAGACTTTTCACAGACAGAGTAAAGGAATGAGAGCTTGATGCCTCGATGCTGACACTCATGACAATATCCATCACTTGCTGTCATGAACTTTCCGGAGGTTAATGCAACATTTAAGTCATTACGGAGGTGGATGGCTGGCTGGCTGGCTAGCTGGCTGGGTGGGTGGGTGGGTGGTTGGGTGGGTGGCTGGGTGGGAGGTTGGGTGGGTTGCAGGGTGGGTGGGTGGGTGGCTGGGTGGCTGGGTGTGTGGATAGGTGGGTGGGTTGTTTGGTGGCTGGCTGGCTGGGTGAGTGGCTGGGTGAGTGGCTGGCTGGGTGGCTAGGCGGGTGGGCAGCTGGCTGGCTGGGTGGGTGGCTGGGCGGGAGGCTGGGCGGGTGGGCGGCTGGCTGGGCGGGTGGCTGGCTGGCAGGCTGGCAGGCTGGCAGGCTGGCAGGCTGGCAGGCTGGCTGGCAGGCTGGGTGGGTTGCTGGCTGGCTGGCTGGCTGGCTGGCTGGCTGGCTGGCTGGCTGGCTGGCTGACTGACTGGGTGGCTGGCTGGAGGGGTGGCTGGCTGGCTGAGTGGGTGGCTGACTGGCTGGCTGGGGGGGTGGCTGGCTGGCTGGCTGGCTGGCTGGCTGGCTGGCTGGCTGGCTGGCTGGCTGGCTGGCTGGCTGGCTGCTGCCTGTTGATAGTCTGGCTCAGGATCACAATGTGTTTGCCTCTTTTCCCCGCCACAAATCCTAATCATTTTGCATTGAGTTGCCTCAGGTTGACCTCAATTAAAGAATCCATTAGAGATGTAAATAACTCTCAGCTTGACAACCTGGGATGTGAATAATCACAAAGTGGAAGAGGATTTTCTCTCAGGCAAGGTAAACACCAAATCCCCCATAATACATAAAATGTGGGGATGGTAATGAATTGGAGTCCTCACCTCAATTAATCATGCAAACTATTCACCCTTGGTTAGAGAGCCTACAGGAAATCTTATGTTTGACTGTGGATTACTGTACATGCAGGAAGCCCTTTTTTAATGAATGTAATCATTAATTCAACATGTTTATTTGGATGTTAGCTTATACTAAGTCAAAGCTTGTGAATATATCCAAGGTTTTATAATCAAAAGGTTAAATATGACACAACCAACCAGCTCTGCACATCGTGTACAGCATGTTACAGGTCAAAATGTCTTCAGGTTTGACTTTGTGTTTTGTTCCATGTTGTGTTGTAGAGAACAAGGTGTGGACAGTAGTGACCCACAACAGCACAGATCCAGTCAGGGTCCAGGGTTCTACACTACAGAAGCCCTACGTTATGAAGTTTAACTACAGCGCCTCACCTGAACAACTGATGGCCCTCGTGGCCAGGTCAGAGCAATGTCAACAGGAAGTTCTGTACGGCTGCAGGAAGTCCCGCCTCTTCAACACCAGAGGTGAGTTGGGTCGATAGCATCCTGTTCACCTTATGAAGTCAAATTTAGACATGTTCCCAGATGGACCTGTTCCGTAATATGACTGGTTAGTATTCTGAGAATGAACCTGAGTCTGACCTGAGCGTGTGAATATAAGCTCCATCCTCAAACATTGATCCCATTATCTTGCAATAACTTGAAAGGCTACCGCCCAGCATGTCTCTGAGCATCAATCTTCAATTGCTTTGAGAGCTAACAGTCTCCCAAGCATCCCACATTTGCTCCTAAATCATGAAACATTCATAAACTCCTGAATTCCCTGATTCCCCAGCTGTCATGTGTGCGCAAACAAACAAGTTAATTATCACAGTGGATCAAAAAGAGACAGGAAACAAGTCATTGTGGTCCTCTGTAGCTCAATTGGTAGAGCATGGCGCTTGTAACGCCAGGGTAGTGGGTTCGATCCCCGGGACCACCCATACGAAAAAATGTATGCACACATGACTGTAAGTCGCTTTGGATAAAAGCGTCTGCTAAATGGCATATTATTATTTCATGGGCTATATATGAACCGTGTCAGATGGAACACGAATAACGTAGGTTGTTTTCTGCTGGCTGCCGTGCTTCAACACATATATTTTCTATAGAAGGTCAATGATGTTCAGCCCCTCTGTCATACACACCATGTTACTTAGCTGTTCAATAGATATAGCGATCAATAATTGTTTACTATTAGACCAGTTTGGCAAATGGATTAATGTAAATGTGAATGATTAAAAACTGTATTTTTGTGAACTCATACATCACACCGTCATGAATGTGTAACCTGCAATCATTAATGGAAAAGTGAGTTCCATGAGAGGGCATCTGTAATGTATGCGGGTTTGAAATGTAATGTCATGTAACACAATGCAGATGTGTTGATAGAAGCCTATATCTGTGCTGAGAGCTGAGAGGCTGCTTCCTGCAGGCCTATAGTGTCTCTCAGGCAGAGTCATGTTGTGTTGATAGAAGCCTATATCTATGCTGAGAGCTGAGAGGCTGCTTCCTGCAGGCCTGTAGTGTCTCTCAGGCAGAGTCATGTTGTGTTGATAGAAGCCTATATCTATGCTGAGAGCTGAGAGGCTGCTTCCTGCAGGCCTGTAGTGTCTCTCAGGCAGAGTCATGTTGTGTTGATAGAAGCCTATATCTGTGCTGAGAGCTGAGAGGCTGCTTCCTGCAGGCCTGTAGTGTCTCTCAGGCAGAGTCATGTTGTGTTGACAGAAGCCTATATCTGTGCTGAGAGCTGAGAGGCTGCTTCCTGCAGGCCTGTAGTGTCTCTCAGGCAGAGTCATGTTGTGTTGATAGAAGCCTATATCTATGCTGAGAGCTGAGAGGCTGCTTCCTGCAGGCCTGTAGTGTCTCTCAGGCAGAGTCATGTTGTGTTGATAGAAGCCTATATCTATGCTGAGAGCTGAGAGGCTGCTTCCTGCAGGCCTGAAGTGTCTCTCAGGCAGAGTCATGTTGTGTTGATAGAAGCCTATATCTATGCTGAGAGCTGAGAGGCTGCTCCCTGCAGGCCTATAGTGTCTCTCAGGCAGAGTCATGTTGTGTTGATAGAAGCCTATATCTGTGCTGAGAGCTGAGAGGCTGCTTCCTGCAGGCCTGTAGTGTCTCTCAGGCAGAGTCATGTTGTGTTGATAGAAGCCTATATCTATGCTGAGAGCTGAGAGGCTGCTCCCTGCAGGCCTATAGTGTCTCTCAGGCAGAGTCATGTTGTGTTGATAGAAGCCTATATCTGTGCTGAGAGCTGAGAGGCTGCTTCCTGCAGGCCTGTAGTGTCTCTCAGGCAGAGTCATGTTGTGTTGATAGAAGCCTATATCTATGCTGAGAGCTGAGAGGCTGCTTCCTGCAGGCCTGTAGTGTCTCTCAGGCAGAGTCATGTTGTGTTGATAGAAGCCTATATCTGTGCTGAGAGCTGAGAGGCTGCTTCCTGCAGGCCTGTAGTGTCTCTCAGGCAGAGTCATGTTGTGTTGATAGAAGCCTATATCTATGCTGAGAGCTGAGAGGCTGCTTCCTGCAGGCCTGAAGTGTCTCTCAGGCAGAGTCATGTTGTGTTGATAGAAGCCTATATCTATGCTGAGAGCTGAGAGGCTGCTTCCTGCAGGCCTGTAGTGTCTCTCAGGTAGAGTCATGTTGTGTTGATAGAAGCCTATATCTGTGCTGAGAGCTGAGAGGCTGCTTCCTGCAGGCCTGTAGTGTCTCTCAGGCAGAGTCATGTTGTGTTGATAGAAGCCTATATCTGTGCTGAGAGCTGAGAGCCTGCTCCCTGCAGGCCTATAGTGTCTCTCAGGCAGAGTCATGTTGTGTTGATAGAAGCCTATATCTGTGCTGAGAGCTGAGAGGCTGCTTCCTGCAGGCCTGTAGTGTCTCTCAGGCAGAGTCATGTTGTGTTGATAGAAGCCTATATCTATGCTGAGAGCTGAGAGGCTGCTTCCTGCAGGCCTGTAGTGTCTCTCAGGCAGAGTCATGTTGTGTTGATAGAAGCCTATATCTGTGCTGAGAGCTGAGAGGCTGCTTCCTGCAGGCCTGTAGTGTCTCTCAGGCAGAGTCATGTTGTGTTGATAGAAGCCTATATCTGTGCTGAGAGCTTAGAGGCTGCTTCCTGCAGGCCTGTAGTGTCTCTCAGGCAGAGTCATGTTGTGTTGATAGAAGCCTATATCTATGCTGAGAGCTGAGAGGCTGCTTCCTGCAGGCCTGTAGTGTCTCTCAGGCAGAGTCATGTTGTGTTGATAGAAGCCTATATCTATGCTGAGAGCTGAGAGGCTGCTTCCTGCAGGCCTGTAGTGTCTCTCAGGCAGAGTCATGTTGTGGGACAGAAGACTGTAGCAGGGCCACTTACAGATGCTCCAGGAAATGAGCCCTGCCTGCCTGACTGGCATCACTGAGGGCTCATTGACACACTGCCATGGGATGCCAAAAGATGCCCAGGGCTATAATCACAGTCACAGTGCAGAAAGCCATACTGCAGGAATGACCCCTGGACTATTAGCAGGTCCCTAATGTCTCACTGACCAGCAGGGGGAAATGTTATCTTTGAATATGGATTACATCATATATTCCAATAATATTATTTTAAAAATGGTGCTGTGTTTTCTAAGCGTCTGACCAGTTCAGTGTCAATTTGAGCCAGTTATACGGTTAAACTGACTATGTAACTAGCTACTGTGAAACTTTTCCTGTTGGTTTTGTATTTTCTATTTACTGTTAATGTTGTGCTTTGCTGCAGATGGCAGCCCCCTGTCCTGGTGGGTGGACCAGGGTGGAGAGAGACGGACCTACTGGGGAGGCTTCCTGCCGGGGGTTCAGCAGTGCTCCTGCAGCATGGAGGACAACTGCATGGACATGAACTACTTCTGCAACTGTGATGCTGACACAGACTCATGGTAACAAGGCAAATATGTCTCTCTGTGTATCTACAGTGCCTTGCAAAATTATTCATCCCCCTTGGCGTTTTTCCTATTTTGTTGCATTACAACCTGTCATTTAAATCTATTTTTATTTGGATTGCATGTAATGGACATACACAAAATTGTCCAAATTCAAAAAAGTCTAAAAAATAAATAACGGAAAAGTGGTGTGTGCATATGTATTCTCCCCCTTTGCTATGAAGCCCCTAAATAAGATCTGGTGCAACCAATTACCTTCAGAAGTCACATAATTAGTTAACCCTCCCGTTGTCCTAGGGTCAAAATGACCCGCCACTGTGTTGAACCAACTTTATTTAATTTTTATATTTTTGGGATCATTTGTGAGAAGGAGGCAGTGAGACTTTAAAGAAAGTATCACATAAGTGTCACATGATCTGTCACATGATCTCAGTATATATACACCTGTTCTGAAAGGCCCCAGAGTCTGCAACACCACTAAGCAAGGGGCACCACCAAGCAAGCGGCACCATGAAGACCAAGGAGCTCTCCAAACAGGTCAGGGACAAAGTTGTGGAGAAGTACAGATCAGGGTTATAAAAAAATATTAGAAACTTTGAACAACGGAGCACCATTAAATCCATTATTAAAAAATGGAAAGAATATGGCACCACAACAAACCTGCCAAGAGAGGGCCGCCCACCCAAATTCACAGACCAGGCAAGGAGGGCATTAATCAGAGGCAACATACCAAAGATAACCTTGAAGGAGCTGCAAAGCTCCACAGCAGAGATTGGAGTATCTGTCCATGGGACCACTTTAAGCCGTACACTCAACAGAGCTGGGCATTACAGAAGAGTGGCCAGAAAAAATCCATTGCTTAAAGAAAAAAATAAGCAAACATGTTTGGTGTTCGCCAAAATGCATGTGAGAGACTCAAAAAACATATGGAAGAAGGTACTCTGGTCAGATGAGACAGAAATTGAGCTTTTTGGCCATCAAGGAAAACGCTATGTCTGGTGCAAACCCAACACCTCTCATCACCCCGAGAACACCATCCCCACAGTGAAGCATGGTGGTGGCAGCATCATGCTGTGGGGATGTTTTTCATCGGCATCAACTGGGAAACTGGTCAGAATTGAAGGAATGATAGATGGTGCTAAATACAGGGAAATTCTTGAGGGAAACCTGTTTCAGTCTTCCAGAGATTTGAGACTGGGACGGAGGTTCACCTTCCAGCAGGACAATGACCCTAAGCATACTGCTAAAGCAACACTCGAGTGGTTTAAGGGGAAACATTTAAATGTATTGGAATGGCCTAGTCAAAGCCCAGACCTCAATCCAATTGAGAATCTGTGGTATGACTTAAAGATTGCTGTACACCAGCGAAACCCATCCAACTTGAAGGAGCTGGAGCAGTTTTGCGTTGAAGAATGGGCAAAATTCCCAGTGGCTAGATGTGCCAAGCTTATAGAGACATACCCCAAGAGACTTGCAGCTGTAATTGCTGCTAAAGGTGGCTCTACAAAGTATTGACTGGGGGGGTGAATAGTTATGCACGCTCAAGTTTTCTGTTTTTTTGTCTTATTTTTTGTTTGTTTCACAATAAAAAATATTTTGAATCTTCAAAGTGGTAGGCATATTGTGTAAATCAAATGATACAAACACTCCAAAAATCCATTTTAATTCCAGGTTGTAAGGCAACAAAATAGGAAAAATGCCAAGAGGGGTGAATACTTTCACAAGCCACTGTACTGGGCTGTTCATTGATCAATATCAAGGCTGTACGAGCCAATGGGTTTGTCTTTTGATCATTATAAAAATGTTTTTGGTGCATTACTTTCTTTCCATATAGAACTTTTAATACAGGGATATCTTCATCACAATTCAACTGTTGTTTTGAACTTGAATTCCGTTGCGAGCATTATTTTTATTTTGAACGTTTATTCTCACCCAGTGTTTCCCCATGTACTTCTGCATTTGGGAAACGTAATTTGCATATCTCCTGAGGCACCCGTCCAGACCTTGATCGATTGCTCCATCTTTATAGTGTTTACTCTAAAGTTTCAGGCAATGCTGATTGAGGATTGGATTAGTTTATCTGTAGTGAAATTAAGAGGCTTCTCTCTCTCTGTTTATTGCAGGGCTAATGACACAGGAGTCCTTTCCTACAAAGAGCACTTACCAGTGAGTGAGATCGTGATTGGAGACACCAACAGAACCGGCTCTGAGGCGCTCTACAGAATCGGCCCGCTGCGTTGTTATGGCGACAGTAGGTGAACTGTTCTATTTTGTAAAATGTTTATCTTACATATGGTCCCTTTTGAACATCCTTGCTTTTCCAGGCCAAATGCTGATTGAATGTTGAGTGTGTTCAAACTCTTAGAAAATATATGTATTTCCTGTCTTCTAGAGTCTGTGTGGAATGCAGCGTCCTTCTACCAGGAGTCATCCTACCTGCACTTCCCCACCCTCCAGGCAGAGCTCAGCGCTGATATCTCCTTCTACTTCAAGACCAGCACTCCCTCAGGAGTCTTCCTGGAGAACGTGGGCCTCAAGGACTTCATCAGAGTGGAGCTCAGCTGTGAGTTTGTGGGCCACACACACACACACACACTCACACACAAGCAAGAGAAGGCCACACACACACAAAACACACACTCGCACACATACAAATCAAATCAAATGTTATTTGTCACATGCGCCGAATACAACAGGTGTAGATCCTTACAGTGAAATGCTTACTTACAAGCCCTTAACCAACAATGCCGTTTTTAAGAAAAATAAGTGGTAAGTAAAAAATTGATAAGTAAAAAATAATGAAAGAGCAGCATTGTTTGTTACTTATTTTGTACATAATGTTGCTGCTACTGTCTCTTATGACCGAAAAGAGCTTCTGGACATCAGAACAGAGATTACTCACCTTGAACTGGACAAATTATTTTTCTTTAATGAGTCGGACGAGAGTATTTTGCTCCAGACACCCGACAGGGCCCTCATCCCCGTCATTCGCAGTAGAAAGAAAAGGAGATATTGCAGAAGGAGATCGGGGTGCCTGGTAAGGAGCCGGTGACGAGTGGCTAATCTGCCTTTGCCATCGATACTAATAACCAATTTACAATCGCTTGATAATAAAGTGGACGAACTACAGGCACGAATATCCTACCAACGGGACATAACTGTAATATCTTATGTTTCACCGAGTCGTGGCTGAACGATGACATGAATAACATACAGCTGGCTGGTTATACACTGTACCGGCAGGATAGAACAGCAGCATCTGATAAGACAAGGGGTGGCGGTCTATGTATATTTGTAAACAACAGCTGGTGCATGATATCTAAGGAAGTCTTGAGGTTTTGCTCACCTGAGGTAGAGTATCTCATTATAAGCTGAAGACCACACTATCTACCAAGAGAGTTTTAATCTATATTCTTCGTAGCTGTCTATTTACCACCACAAACCGATGCTGCACTAAGACCACACTCAAGCTGTATAAGGCCATAAGCAAACAGGAAAACACTCATCCAGAGGCAGCGCTCCTTGTGGCCGGGGACTTTAATGCAGTGAAACTTAAATCCATTTTACCTCATTTCTACCAGCATGTTAAATGTGCAACCAGAGGGAAAAAAACTCTAGACCACCTTTACTCCACACACAGAGACGCATACAAAGCTCTCCCTTGCCCTCCATTTGGAAAATCTGACCATAATTATATCCTTCTGATTCCTGCTTACAAGCAAAAACTAAAGCAGGAAGCACCAGTGACTCGGTCAATAAAAAAGTGGTCAGATGAAGCAGATGCTAAGCTACAGGACTGTTTTGCTAGCACAGACTGGAATATGTTCCGGGATTCTTCCGATGGCATTGAGGAGTACACCACATCAGTCACTGGCTTCTACAATAAGTGCATCGAAAGATGTCGTCCCCACAGTACTGTACGTACATACCCCAACCAAAAGCCATGGATTACAGGCAACAGCCGCACTGAGCTAAAGGGTAGAGCTGCCGCTTTCAAGGAGCGGGACTCTAACCCGGAAGCTTCTAAGAAATCTTGCTATGCCCTCCGACGAACCATCAAACAGGCAAAGAGTCAATACAGGACTAAGATTGAATCGTACTACACCGGCTCCGACGCTCATCAGATATGGCAGGGCTTGAAAACTATTACAGACTACAAAGGGAAGCACAGCCGCGAGCTGCCCAGTGACACAAGCCTACCAGACAAGCTAAATTACTTCTATGCTCGCTTCGAGGCAAGTAATACTGAAACATGCATGAGAGCATCAGCTGTTCCGGATGACTGTGTGATAACGCTCTCCATAGCCGATGTGAGTAAGACCTTTTAACAGGTCAACATTCACAAGGCCACAGGGCCAGACGGATTACCAGGACGTGTACTCCGAGCATGCGCTGTCCAACTGGCAAGTGTCTTCACTGACATTTTCAGCATGTCCCTGTCCGAGTCTGTAATACCAACATGTTTCAAGCAGACCACCATAGTCCCTGTGCCCAAGAACACAAAGGTAACCTGCCTGAATGACTACCGACCCGCTCATCACTAAGCTAAGGACCCTGGGACTAAACATCTCCCTCTGCAACTGGATCCTGGACCTCCTGACGGGCCGCCCCCAGGTGGTAAGGGTAGGTAACAACACATCCGCAACGCTGATCCTCAACACGGGGGCCCCTCACGGGTGCGTGCTCAGTCCCCTCCTGTACTCCCTGTTCAGTCATGACTGCATGGCCAGGCACAACTCCAACACCATCATTAAGTTTGCCGATGACACAACAGCCTGATCACCGACAACGACGAGACAGCCTATAGGAAGGAGGTCAGAGACCTGGCCGTGTGGTGCCAGGACAACAACCTCTCCCTCAACGTGATCAAGACAAAGGAGATGATTGTGGACTACAGGAAAAAGAAGAGGACCGAGCACGCCCCCATTCTCATCGACGGGGCTGTAGTGGAACAGGTTGAGAGCTTCAAGTTCCTTGGTGTCCACATCACCAACAAACTATCATGGTCCAAGCACACCAAGACAGTCGTGAAGAGGGCACGACAAAACCTATTCCTCCTAAGGAGACTGAAAAGATTTGGCATGGGTCCGCAGCTCAGCTGTGAGTTTGTTAGCCGCACGCACGCACACACACACACACACACACACACACACACACACACACACACACACACCAGAATCAATTTGGAGGAGGCCAGTGGTTTGAAATCATAAAGATTCTATTTTCTGATGAAAGCACTTCCCAGCTACAGTAGCCTACCTTTGACATGCAGTTTGAAAAATTTGCAAAATGTTACTCCTGACCTGCACTGTATAATGTAATCCTAATGACACACACAGTGCTCTATTATCAAGCTGTCAAGCCTCTAATAACACTTTCCGTGGCGGCCATGTAAACAGTAGCTGTTGAAGAAACTAATGGTCAAACTACATTGTGAATGTACTGACTAACACCACCTTGAGCTCAAAATTAGTCTGTAAAAGCTTTTCTTTAAGTCTTTCATTAGATTCCATTTTCTCACAGGACATTTGGAGCTCTGAAATAACTGCAGCGTGTATGCATTCATGACTGTGAGTCACTTTGGGTGGGTGGTTGGATGGATGGAGACGTAGGATGGGTAGGGTTGGGGGAATGGGGTTGGGGGAATGGGGTTGGGGGTGGGGGCTCACTTATTTTTTTGATTTACATACAGGTGGATGCAAGTTATGAAATTATATGAATTTGTATATTGCGCCTGTAGCTCCCCCAACAAGAAAATGACAAAATGTATAAAGATTTGGTAACAAAAAAAGGCTTTGAAGGATCAATGCATCACATTGCATGTCATCGACATGGAATGAAATGGTGTCCCATAGAAAAGAGGAGTCTCAGATTCACTACTGACCTGACTGTGCTTGTGTCCCTGTTCTGTTCCCTCAGCTCCGTTCGTAGTGACGTTCTCCTTTGACGTGGGAAACGGGCCGGTGGTCCTGGCCATTAAGTCCCACGTGCCCCTGAATGACAGGCAGTGGCACTACGTGAGGGCGGAGCGCAGCGTGAAAGAGGCCTCTCTGCAGGTGGACCAGATGCCCCTGCGCTTCCTGGAAGCCCCATCTGAGGGACACCTCCGCCTCCGGCTCAACAGCCAGCTGTTTGTGGGTAGGGCTAGGGCGAACAGCCCCTCTGTGGATTAATATGTACATAGAGCAGTTATAAGTGTGTTATAACTCTGTAAAAGTCATATAAATTAGTTATAACTAATATAGTATTTTCAAATACACAGCTCAAAACAAGTCGTTTTATTTGAGTATTTGAATGGTTATATGTAAAATAAAACTAATAGTTGACCAAATTGTATCTGAAGTATTTCAAAATACTTTTTTCAAATAATATTTTCTAATACCTGGGTTAAATGCGTGGGAGTGTATTTGAGTCAGTGTATTTGAGTATTTTCAAATACTTTACAAGTGTATTTCGAAATACATTCCAATATTCAACTACTTATGTATTCTAATAAAGGTTATCTTAATTATTTGAACCCAGGTCTGGTTATAACATTGTAACCAGCATTATGAACTAGTTATAACCTGTGGTCCCTCCTCCAGGGGGAACAGCAGCTAGTACTCAGTGGAATATGATGCATTATATACTAGTTATACATCTTTAATAACACTGTAATAAACATATGAACTAGTTATAACCTGTGGTCCCTCCTCCAGGGGGAACGGCGGCCAGGCAGAGGGGCTTCTTGGGCTGCATCAGAACTCTGACTATAAACGGTTTGACCTTTAACCTGGAGGAGCGGGCTAAGATGACCCCGGGAGTGAGCGCTGGCTGCCCCGGCCACTGCAGCGGCTCCAGCAGTCTCTGCCACAACAGAGGGAGGTGCATCGAGAATAACACCGGCTATGTCTGTGACTGCTCCCAGTCTGCCTACGGGGGGCCCTCCTGCAAGGAAGGTGTGAAACTCATAGTAACTCCATCCCAGAGGTTAAGCCTTGGGTTGATTTAGCTGTAATGTTGTTTCATCTACTCATTCTGATGCTGTTTTGATACTGAATCTATGATTATAACATGTAACTACAGGTATACATACAAAACATGCACTTCCAGTTTGTAAAGTATAATTTTTAACACCTGGGTGAAAAGTTCCCTCGTGAAGTGCAATCTGCTGCAGTCAGGAGAAGTTGATTAACATAGAGTTATGTCACAACAGCCCTCTGTTGCAAAATATTGCGTTACATTTACAGAAATCTAACATCGCTCAGAGGAGATGAAAACTTGAATATTTCTTGTTTTCAAGTGAAATATTCAATGCCAGCAAATATCTTAGGCTGCCCCAGTCCTAATGTTCACTTGCTCTTGAAGTATTGAAGTAGAGGTGTTGAGATCAGTGGCATTCAGAGTGCAGATTGGACTCCATCTGAAGAAGAGATCAAAGAGGGAGAGGATGAGATGACAGATCCTTCCTCCTCTGCTCTCTCTGGTCTGTCTGAGAGGATCCTGCTCTCACATTCACACTAATCTAGGCCTCCATTATTATGGAGCAGACACGCCTGAAATATTCCACTGGTCTGAAATACAATAGTCTCACTTTGATCCAATCCTACTACCGTAGCATCTGGAACACAGAAGTTACAAAATATATATATATTTTATTTTATTTTAGATGGTCATAAACATATTTCATATTAACAGAATAGCATATGCTATTGAAGTTGCTGCCTCTGGGGCAGTTACTATAGCATGAATGGAGATACTATTGATGGCTATCAACAAGTAAGAGGTGACCATATTGTCCTGGACTGTCACCCATGATACAATGCACTGGGGCTCCCGAGTGGCGCAGCGGTTTAAGGCACTGCATCTCAGTGTTTGAGGCGTCACTACAGACCCCATGGTTCGATTCCAGGATGTATCACAACCGGCTGTGATTGGGAGTCCCATAAACAATAAATGAAATGACCTAACCCATCCTCTCTCTCCCTGTCCATGCAGAGGTGTCTGTGTCGTTTGACAGAGAGTCGTCGGTGACCTACACCTTCCAGGAGCCTTTCTCTGTGATGCAGAACAGGAGCTTCCAGGCCTCCAGCGTCTACAGAGAGAACAGCAGGGCCAGAGAGAACATGGCTCTCATCTTCATGACCACACAGAGCCCTGCCATGCTGCTCACTGTCAGCACTTTCAGCCAGCAGTACATAGCAGTCATCCTGGCACGCAACGGTACTCATTTTCCACTATAAAAAAAATAAGGATTATCAAGGTAGGATTCAACCATTTGAATTCACGGTTTAACCCAGCTTGTGATTTACAGGGAGTCTCCAGATCTGGTACCATCTCCATGTGGACATGAGGCCAGATGTGTTCAGCCCCAGACCCACAAGCCTGGCAGACGGACGCCTCCACCGTATCAGAATCCACCGTGAGGGAAAAGACGTCTACCTACAGGTGAGCAGTGGATACATATGGGATGTTTACAACAAATGGGATTCATACATTTTCATGTATGAAACAGAAATGTAGGTGCAGGAGAGGGTGGGGAGGGTGAGGAGTAGGGGGGTGAGGAGGGTGTGGAGCAGGAGGGTGAGGAGGGTGAGGAGCTGAGGAGTGAAGAGGGTGAGGAGCATTAGAGTGAAGAGGGTGAGGAGCTGGGGAGTGAAGAGGGTGAGGAGAAGGGGAGTGAAGAGGGTGAGGAGCTGGGGAGTGAAGAGGGTGGGGAGGGTGAGGAGTGAAGAGGGTGAGGACCTGGCGAGTGAAGAGGGTGAGGAGCTGGGGAGTGAAGAGGGTGAGGAGAAAGGGAGTGAAGAGGGTGAGGAGCATTAGAGTGAAGAGGGTGAGGAGCATTAGAGTGAAGAGGGTGATGAGCTGGGGAGTGAAGAGGGTGATGAGCTGGAGAGTGAAGAGGGTGAGGAGCTGGGGAGAGAAGAGGGTGAGGAGCTGGAGAGTGAAGAGGGTGAGGAGCTGGGGAGAGAAGAGGGTGATGAGCTGGAGAGTGAAGAGGGTGAGGAGCTGGGGAGAGAAGAGGGTGAGGAGCTGGAGAGTGAAGAGGGTGAGGAGCTGGAGAGTGAAGAGGGTGAGGAGCTGGGGAGAGAAGAGGGTGAGGAGCTGGAGAGTGAAGAGGGTGAGGAGCTGGAGAGTGAAGAGGGTAAGGAGTAAGGGAGTGAAGAGGGTGAGGAGCTGGGGAGAGAAGAGGGTGAGGAGCTGGAGAGTGAAGAGGGTGAGGAGCTGGAGAGTGAAGAGGGTGAGGAGCTGGAGAGTGAAGAGGGTAAGGAGTAAGGGAGTGAAGAGGGTGATGAGCTGGGGAGTGAAGAGGGTGAGGAGCTGGAGAGTGAAGAGGGTGAGGAGCTGGAGAGTGAAGAGGGTGAGGAGCTGGGGAGAGAAGAGGGTGAGGAGCAGGAGAGTGAAGAGGGTGAGGAGCTGGAGAGTGAAGAGGGTGAGGAGCTGGAGAGTGAAGAGGGTGAGGAGCTGGAGAGTGAAGAGGGTGAGGAGCAGGGGAGTGTAGAATGTATGTACAAGGTGTATTCAAACAGTTGGGACTAGCTATTGTATATAAAAAGAGAAGACATTAGCATCACATCACACTAAGCAGAGAGGGGAACTACACTCTACTTGTTCACCATGAGCAAATACTGTGTTAGGAAAAATGTAAGTACAGTTGCCTACACTAACCAATGTGTTGGATTAACCAAGTATTCTGTGTGTGGTCGAATGTGTTCTTCACACCTCCTTGTCCTTTTTCCCACTCCACTAGATTGACAAGGACATGAACCTAAAGTACATCCTGTCATCAGACACAGAGTTAATCTCCATCAAATCACTGACTTTGGGGAAGGTCACAGGTGAGCCCACCAGAGAAATGAGGATGTGTTGGTTGAGGTAGTTTGAAATGATTAAATGACTGGAGGCTACAGTCATGGTTTTTACTCTAAATGGAGGAAATGAACAGCCTACCACATTGCAGGGCTTAGAAGAATCAGTCTTTGCAATTAAGGCAAAGCTTGTAAACTGGAATAGATAGACGAGACGTGTCAGTGATATAACGTGATGTAGGCATTCTAAGCATTAGATTTGGTCGACTATCTGAATCACTTCTCGCATCTGGCATAGAATTGACAGCCAGATGGGGAGGGGTGTCAGCCACCTCCATCACCACCCCACCAGGACATTGTATCTGTCTAATAATCAGTCTCACATATCTCACGAACCACTAATCTTGGGGAGTATTGCACTCAAGCTTATCACTTCACGCATTAGTCAGAAGCTAAATGGAACTGTTAAGTAAACCAAGCGTAATTTGTCTAACACAGAGATTCACAATAGCTTAGGGAACGAGCAAATCTATGCTAATTGACAACATAATTTGCATTTCAAAACAAATGTATTCATCTTATCATTAAGATAGTGGAGATCCCCTGTTGGATGAGGATGAATACATGTATGACTAGATGCTGTCTATGGGGGTTTTGAGAAGAACACTGTTTTTAGACATTGATCGTTGGCAATGTATTAGATATTTAGAGGGATTGAATCAAAACTACTAAACATAGGCCTAAGTCTCAATCATTCAAATGATTTCCAGTTTTTCATCAAACTCATGAAAAGTCATGAAAGTCAAGTTAAACACACAAAATCTAAACAACATTATGTATTCTAAATCTGGGTTAGTATATAGGACAAAACATCCATTCCCTCTAGAGCATGCCTGTTCTATCTCTCACACATACTGTATTCATATGACTCCAGCACAGTGCAACAGCATCCACTACTTACAATGTGTTTTCTGCAGGATGAAAGGAAATGCATGTACCTTCTTGGCTGGGTTATGTCTCCTAGGGATCTATTAAGTCAAAATGAATGCTGCAGTGCCACAAACGAAGAGAAATGATAAACATGGTGGTGATGATCACCGTGGAACTTTTGGGGGTCAATTACACTACTTCCTGTACAGTAAATTGCCCCCTATGGGAAGTATGGTAATTATAGATTTCAAACCAATTAGATACAATATTACTTTAAAGGGAAGATGCTGTTGAATGTTGACCCTCGTGGTTTGATTAGCTCCATTATATTGAAATATCTAATATCTTTAGAGAAATTACAGGCACACACCGATCTCTCTTATATCTTATATCTACTCTTGTCCTTAACACAAATCAAAATAGCAAATTGCTCCCAGCGCTCCTATCTCTGATTAATGATAGTCAAGTGCTCTAAGCAGCCAGCATGCTATCTGCATATGTGGTAGTCGTTATGATTAATTTCCTGCAAATGCTGAGGAATCTTTAAATGAACTTATTGTCCTCGACTAACCTGTGCCCCCGCACATTGACTCAGTACTGGTACCCCCTGTATATAGCATCGTTATTGTTATTTTATTGTTACTTTAGTTTATTTAGGAAATATGTTTCTTAAAACTGCAGTGTTGGTTAAGGGCTCTTAAGTAAGCATTTCACGGTAAGGTCTACAACTGTTGTATTCGGCGCATGTGAAAAATAACATTGGATTTGATTTGATTTTGTGGAGCTCCAATTGTATTTGCATACAGTTCATATGCATTTATAGACTATTTTATTGAACATAACAAGCAGGAACAATTGACATACAGTCTCAAGAGAGCCTGCTCAGTGGTTCGTGCTATCTCACTTTGACAAAGAGAGAGATTGCTTTGAGAGATACTATCCAACATGTACATTAGTCAAGGTTAGATACTGGTGTCTTTGTGGCAGTCGGTGGATGTTTGAATGTTTTATTAACATTCAGATTAATCAGATAAATCTGTGAGTTTGATTAGTACCTTCCTTGTTGTTTACAGGAGTGAATGCTGGGGATGAGGAAGTGATGCAGGCAGGATCTAAGGGCTTCATTGGCTGCTTGTCATCCGTCCAGTTCAATCACGTGGCTCCACTGAAGGCAGCGCTACTGAACCGTGGCAGCTCATTGGTCAGTGTACGGGGTCACCTGGTGGAGTCTAACTGTGGGGCTCTGGCTGACTCAACAATATTTCACTCTCAATCAGGTGAGGAATGTAGAATGTATTCAGAATATATTGTATTTCTGTGGACGATATCGTCTAACATTTTAATATTGTACACTGTCAACATCAAAGCCGGGATAGAGTTTAGTCTACAGATTCTTCCACTGTCACAATGATGGTTCCCAAGTGAACGTTGCTCATTGATTTATGTCGGTCCCCAGTCCTCAAACAAATTACAGATCGATGATCTAATCCGTTCCTCATGATGTCACCACTCTCTCTTCCGTCTTCCGGTAGATCATTCAGAGACAGTAGGCAGAGGCAAGGGGCCATTAAGGAACGCTTCACAAAGCAACTCGGCGGTAATTGGAGGTGAGATTTCCAATTCAGAGTTGTTAAAGTGCTCAATTGCCAAAGTCAGTGTCCTGTGAAATGAGCCCCAGCTATCTCTGCCTCTTGCTCTCTACTCAGACGTTTTCTTGGAATAATGTGTGTCTGTCAAGACAGGATAACATGCCACAATTTAGACATTTCTAGCACTGGAGAGACTTCCAAAGTAATTACCCAGAAGGGCTGTTATTTGCACTGTAAAGTAAAAGGTCTTATAAATTGACTTTAAGTCAGATATGTTTGGAGATAATGGAGACAATGGAGATAACGGAGATAATGGAGGAAATTGAGATAATGGAGATAACGGAGATAATGGAGATAACAGAGGAAATGGAGATAATGGTGATGATGGATGAAATGGAGATAATGGAGATAATGGGAATAACGGAGATCATGGAGATAATGGATTGACAGATACAAAAGAACAAAAAGAAGATCAAAGAACATTCCTAAGTAAATTTGGGAATGCTTTATTTGACACCTAGTGTCATAATATGTCATAACAGCTGACATACCTTGTCATAACCTGTCATAATATGGTCATAACACTGTCATGACACACATTTAGACCTGTTGTGACATATACTGCATTATTTTATGGCTGGTTATGACACCTACATAAGAGTGTCACAACCCGCAAAACCTACCACACAAGGCAGAACATTCCATTACACCATTGCCATTGTGTCAACAGTGTGTTTATCTTATGTAACATTTTCTGTAATTGACCATATTAAATGATAATTGTAGTTGTGCACACATTGATGTCAGACATGCACTTTCCCCAATGCTCTGTTGCTGATGACTGGGATGAATGCAGGAGCAGATTTCAGGAGCAAGACAAGACACCCTCTTTGTAAACAAAAAAAAAAAAAAGAATGTGTAAAGTGGTTATCCCACTGGCTATAAGGTGAATGCACCTATTTGTAAGTCGCTCTGGATAAGAGCGTCTGCTAAATGACGTAAATGTATGTAAATGTGACTGATGACTGACATAAGGGCATGTACGTGACAGGCCTATCTGGCTTATACGATTCTGATGGTCATAATGCTCCATGACAGTGTCATAAAGTGTATTCTCTACAAGTTATTCTAAATACAATTAAATAAAAACATAACTGTAAAGAATTCATTACAAAAACAACAAAGGATTTAACTCTAAATCGTATTATTTCGAATAAGTTTCCTTTTGTTGTAAAGTTTGTTTCTGCAGCCTCCCTCAAGGTCTTCACCTCCACTGCAGGATGCAGTATATGCTTTACTTTCTCTGAAAAATATAAGTAAAGAACAGAAATCAGAATAGAGTATGCTACAATGCGGTGACACTGCTAAAGAAAGCTGAAGACTAAAACTTCATACCAAATGTATTATTGCAATAGGAAACACTTTCACACATTCTCAAATACATTACAATCCAGTTTTCACAATGTTTTCATAACATAGCTAAAGCTAGCTCTCAACTTTTCATGTAGCTAGCGTAATAGACAGCTACAGCAAAGTTGATATTGTGAGATTTCTAAACTTTTAGAGAGAGACTGTCAACAAATACAGCAAAGAGCTGCTGTTTTTATGAGTGATGTTTAAGTTTTTTCTCAGCACTGTCAACACTTTCTATTCAACACTTTTATAACCATACAATGTACGTTCGCCCTACTTCCACTTGCGCTACAACCAGCACTGCAGCTACAATGAATGAGTAGGAAAGTGTATCGATAGGCTTGCGTTGTTATTTTTAGCGGCTTTGGTATTTTTTTAATATCGAGGAATATTTCACTTTCTCTGGTCATAGGAGTAACAACATGAATTTGTGCGTGAGGCAGCTGGAAGATGGTGTCCCTATTTGGTCAGTGAGGAAAGGGAGAGCAGAGGGATGCTGAGAGGCGACCCTGCAGCCCTCTTCCTCTGCTGAGGATAATAAAAATAAAAATAAAAGCAAATTGTTTAAATGTATGTTCACCTAGGGCTGTTGTGGTCATGACATTTTGTCAGCCGGTGGATGTCATACAAATAACTGCAGTAATTGACCGTTAATTAACATTAACATAAACAATTTGACATGCACTTGATAATATTCACACCCATCAGGTTTAATTTTTTATTTATAATGGCCCACAAAAAAACATAATCCGTAGCCTGCACTCAAATAGGGATGCTACGTGCGGTTACCTTTTTAATATGCAAGCATAGGCAGTGTGTCCATAAAGCTAGGGGAAGCTTTTCCTAAAGTAAATTGAATTAAATTGCCAAAATATACTGAAATAAATACAATTATTCAAAATAGGCTACTAAAGCATGATTTGGCCACAGAGGATCATAAGCTTCTTCTTTTTTTTTTATAAGATGTGATTTGTTTTATATCGTATTGCCTACAGTCAGAAGGAAAGGCAGTGCGCGCAATTTGGGGAGATTATTTTACATTTTACATTTTAGTCATTTAGCAGATGCTCTTATCCAGAGCGACTTACAGTTAGTGAGTGCATACATTTTTTTCATTATTGTTGAGTTGCGACTGTCTGTGAAAAATATGCCAGGTTGTAAAGCGAATTAATGTGCTTCATTTTAATAACTGAGCAATAAATGTAGCAGCATGAGAAAGCTGGGATCTTCTTTTAAATAGTGTCCAGTCAAAACTCTGTTATGTTTATTAGTAAAGGTAATAATATAAGTCAGATAAGCCTATCACATACATTACCATATGTCAGTCATAAGTCCCAAAGAGGGAGTTTTGTCCTGCTCCGATATTCATCCCAGTCATCAGTGACAGAGCATTGGGCTTGGCACGTGTGACATCAATGTGTGTACAATTACAATGGTCAGTTTTAGAATTTACAAATACATTTAGAATGGAGTGGTTTGCCTTGTGTGGTAGGATTTGTGGGCTTTGACACTCTTATGTAGGTGTCATAAGCAGCCATAAAATATTGCAATATATGTCACAACACGTCTAAATATGTGTCATGACAGTGTTATGACAGTGTTGTGACAGATTGTCAGCTGTTATGAAATATTATGACATGGTTATGACCGTGTCATAACGTGTTATGACGCTAGCTGTCAAATAAAGTGTTACTGTAGATTCTTAAAGAGTAAGAATCCATTTTGGCAAAGGATTTTCAGTTTGAGCTCACAATTATCTCAATGCCAGTTAAAATATATATGACATCCAAATGAATAGCCAATATTTAATAAATAGAACACAGACCTATATAGACAACATGTAAACTGTAAACTTGTAAACTTCCTTTATAGTCCACTAAAGATGGCTGCCCTTGCTCCCCCGCAGGTGTGGTGTCAGCAGTGGTCTTTATCACTCTGTGTGTAGTGGCGGTGATGACCCGTTTCCTGTACCAGCACCGGCAGGCCCAGAGAGACGCCAGCATCAAGGAGAAGGAGCACCGAACCAACCTGGAAACACCCTACCGGAGAGAAGCAGCCTACCAGACAGAACCAGCCTATCGGACAGAGCTCCACCTCCATGACAGTCATAGCTCCACCCTCAGGGACAACAGGGAGTACTACATCTGAACACCAGTCCCCTGGTCATCACGGAAGGCCTCTCCTCTGAAAGTGGATTGGGAGGTGGAGATGTCACTGCAGAATTCCGGACAGGAAAATAGCCCAGCGGCTGAGCCAGAACCCTTGCCCAGGGATTCTTCTCGTGACTTTGTCTGATTATTACAAAACATATACAGTGGGGAGAACAAGTATTTGATACACTGCCGATTTTGCAGGTTTTCCTACTTACAAAGCATGTAGAGGTCTGTAATTTTTATCATAGGTACACTTCAACTGTGAGAGACGGAATCTAAAACAAAAATCCAGAAAATCACATTGTATGATTTTTAAGTAATTCATTTGCATTTTATTGCATGACATAAGTATTTGATACATCAGAAAAGCAGAACTTAATATTTGGTACAGAAACCTTTGTTTGCAATTACAGAGATCAAATGTTTCCTGTAGGTCTTGACCAGCTTTGCACACACTGCAGCAGGGATTTTGGCCCACTCCTCCATACAGACCTTCTCCAGATCCTTCAGGTTTCGGGGCTGTCGCTGGGCAATACGGACTTTCAGCTCCCTCCAAAGATTTTCTATTGGGTTCAGGTCTGGAGACTGGCTAGGCCACTCCAGGACCTTGAGATGCTTCTTACGGAGCCACTCCTTAGTTGCCCTGGCTGTGTGTTTTGGGTCGTTGTCATGCTGGAAGACCCAGCCACGACCCATCTTCAATGCTCTTACTGAGGGAAGGAGGTTGTTGGCCAAGATCTCGCGATACATGGCCCCATCCATCCTCCCTTCAATACGGTGCAGTCGTCTTGTCCCCTTTGCAGAAAAGCATCCCCAAAGAATGATGTTTCCACCTCCATGCTTCACGGTTGGGATGGTGTTCTTGGGGTTGTACTCATCCTTCTTCTTCCTCCAAACACGGCGAGTGGAGTTTAGACCAGAAAGCTCTATTTTTGTCTCATCAGACCACATGACCTTCTCCCATTCCTCCTCTGGATCATCCAGATGGTCATTGGCAAACTTCAGACGGGTCTGGACATGCGCTGGCTTGAGCAGGGGGACATTGCGTGCGCTGCAGGATTTTAATCCATGACGGCGTAGTGTGTTACTAATGGTTTTCTTTGAGACTGTGGTCCCAGCTCTCTTCAGGTCATTGACAAGGTCCTGCCGTGCAGTTCTGGGCTGATCCCTCACCTTCCTCATGATCATTGATGCCCCACGAGGTGAGATCTTGCATGGAGCCCCAGACCGAGGGTGATTGACCGTCATCTTGAACTTCTTCCATTTTCTAATAATTGCGCCAACAGTTGTTGCCTTCTCACCAAGCTGCTTGCCTATTGTCCTGTAGCCCATCCCAGCCTTGTGCAGGTCTACAATTTTATCCCTGATGTCCTTACACAGCTCTCTGGTCTTGGCCATTGTGGAGAGGTTGGAGTCTGTTTGATTGAGTGTGTGGACAGGTGTCTTTTATACAGGTAAAGAGTTCAAACAGGTGCAGTTAATACAGGTAATGAGTGGAGAACAGGACGGCTTCTTAAAGAAAAACTAACAGGTCTGTGAGAGCCGGAATTCTTACTGGTTGGTAGGTGATCAAATACTTATGTCATGCAATAAAATGCAAGTTAATTACTTAAAAATCATACATTGTGATTTTCTGGATTTTTGTTTTAGATTCCGTCTCTCACAGTTGAAGTGTACCTATGATAAAAATGACAGACCTCTACATGCTTTGTAAGTAGGAAAACCTGCAAAATAGGCAGTGTATCAAATACTTGTTCTCCCCACTGTATGTAGTGGACTACACGTTTAGCAGATTTGTAGGGCTGTAGGTGTGTCATGTGGTCGGTGAAACTGTTAGACAGTAAAGAGGGAATGTGCAGGTGTGATTTCTGAACAATCTCTCAACCGGCAGAGGAAAGGACTGAGACGAAGAAGGGAAGGAAACATTGAATGTGTAGTACCAAACTCCTGAAGACGTCATTCTTCTTGTGACCCACCGATATTCTTCAAGATTTTCCACAAGAGTTCTGTGGAACGTCCTCAATGTCATCTGAAAGATAAGAACGTGTACTGTAGGTCAAGCCTGTGAGTGAACTGTGAACTCTGCAGTGTGGCAATGACCGAACATTGAAATGAGAGAATGAAAGAAGGGCCTGCCTTTTGTAAGAGTGCCTCTTCATGTTGTTTTCATCGCTTTGTTTCAAAACCCTTTACATCTTAGTTTCAATTAATTAGTGTTAATTAGTATATCCTTTATGTGCACATCTGAACATGAACCACCTGTACTGTAATCATCCTCTGTTCAAGCCTATAACAAATGGATGGTGAAATTTGGTGTAATTACACAATGCTGTAATTTATCTAAGTAATGTTTCAAAGATGGATAACGCTCAAAGGTGAGCATTTTGCTGTAAAGTGGAAAGATGGGTAGGTTCCACCAGGAAAAGTCACTGCTGTATATGTTTTGCACAAAAAATAAGAAAACTGACGAAACGTGACAACCTGAAAGGACCAGATCCTATACGTTAGAGAATTGCCTGTGACTGGAATTTACCTAATAAATCTGCCATTCAAATCAATGCATGGTTGTGCGAAAGTTCAAGTCACAAAGGTGTGTCTGAAGAGAGGATATGGTCAGATGTCGCTAAATGAAAACTGTACTGACCTCCAATAATCCGATTTTTCCGATTATTTTATTACAATATTTGACATTTATTTACTTTTCCTTCTTTATGTTGTGTATAGTTGCAGTTGTACAGATATATTGTATAGATGTATATTTATTAATAAATTGAAGACTTTATTAATTATATGTTGTAATGTGGCTTATTCCGATTTCTTGCAATAGTTCAGTTGACTGTGATGTCAATAACAATTCTGAGCTTTGCAAGTCAATCTGATTTTCCAAAATGTAGTAACTTCCATTAAAATATGTTGATTGTAAAATCAATGTCAAATGCATGATAAAAAATTCCCTGTGTCTTCATCTAACCTCTCGTGATCCTCCAGGCAAATGGATACAAACTCACTTTACATGTTCAATAGAGGTATGATACGGTCAGTTGGAAATAGAACAAGGCAATGAGTCACCTTTAAAATGTCACTGTAGATGTAAAATAAGCCCTAGTTCAAACACCACTCTGTCGCCGCACCGAACTAAACATAACATAACAAAACTTTCTCTTCGGAAGACCGGGGATAAAGGGCCGTCTAAAACCATAGCGTGCGCCTCGTCTGGCTTTTGACTATAGTTCGGCAGCCTCTGCCTCTCTTTCAGCGCAGGGGAAGCACGCCTCTGCTTCATGCAGAGAGCCAGAACAATTCTTCCACTGTTGGGAGAAATGGTAATGCATGTTAATATACACTGAACAAAAATACAAACGCAACATGTAAAGTGTTGGTCCCACGTTTAATGAAATTTTCCAGACGCACAAAAAGCTTTTTTCTCAAATGTTGTGCACAAATTTGTTTACATCCCTGTTAGTGAGCATTTCTCCTTTGCCAAGATAATCCATCCACCTGACAGGTGTACCATATCAAGAAGCATATTAAACAGCTTGATCATTACACAGGTGCACCTTGTGCTGGTGACAATAAAAGGCTACTTTAAAATGTGCAGTTTTGTCACACAACACAATGCCACAGATGTCTCAAGTTTTGAGGGAGCATTCAATTGACATGCTGACTGCAGGAATGTCCACCATAGCTGTTGACAGATAATTGAATGTTTATTTCTCTATCATAAGCCGCTTCCAACTTTGTTTTAGAGAATTTGGCAGTACGCCCAACCGGCCTCACAACCGCAGTCCACGTGTATGGCGTCATGTGGGCGAGCGATTTGCTGATGTCAATGTAGTGAACAGAGTGCCCCATGGTGGTGGTGGGGTTATGGTATGGGCAGGCATAAGCTACGGACAATGAACACAATTGCATTTTATCGATGGCAACTTAAATGCACAGAGATACCGTGACGAGATCCTGAGGCCCATTGTCGTGCCGTTCATCCGCCACCATCACCTCATGTTTCAGCATGATAATGCGCTGCCCAATGTCGCAAATATCTGTACACAATTCCTGGAATCTACAAATGTCCCAGTTCTTCCGTGGCCTGCATACTCACCAGACATGTCACCAATTGAGCATGTTTGGGATGCTCTGGATCAACGTGTATGACAATGTGTTCCAGTTCCCGCCAATATCCAGCAACTTCACACAGCCATTGAACAGGCAACAATCAACAGCCTGATCAACTCTATGCAAAGGAGATGTTGTGCTGCATGAGGCAAATGGTGGTCACACCAGATACTGACTGGTTTTCTGATCCATGCCCTACCTTTTTTTTTTTTTTGTATCTGTGACCAACAGATGCATATCTGTATTTCCAGTCATACATGTGAAATCCATAGATTAAGATTTCCTTATATGAACTGTAACTCAGTAAAATCTTTGAAATTGTTGCATGTTGCCTTTATATTTTTGTTCAGTATATGTTAATTGCAAGCAAATAAAGGTTGATTCGCTACCACAGGTACAACAGAAGCACAATCATGGCCTCAGATTTGCAGGTGGAGGACTTCTGTGCGGAGGGGATCAGCTCTACTACTTTAAGGAGATATCTGAAACACAGTTTCCAAATGCTGACTACACAAGCCACGCGCTTGCGTCCGTATGATTTTGTCCATTCCCACCAGATGTAATCATGACATGCAGGTTCAAATATCAAAACCAACTGTCAACCAACTATATTAATTTGGGAGCAGGTCGAAACACACATGAAACATTCATGGACATTTAGCCAGCTCGCTGTTGCTAGCTAGTTTGTCCTGGAAGATGAACATTTGGTTGTTATTTTACCTCTTCTTTGTATCTGGTTCTTTGCATATGTGTTTCTACATTTTACATTTACATTTTAGTCATTTAGCAGACACTCTTATCCAGAGCGACTTACAGTTAGTGAGTGCATACATTTGTATTTTTTTCTACTCCAAAGATTAATTCACAGATAAAAAGTGAAAGCTAGTTAGTTTTTAGTTTTCTTTAATGATTCTCTCCTCGTTTGTCTTTTAAGCATCCGTGTGGGTTTGTATCTTCCTGATATCCAATAGGGGACTTGCAGCGCATGGAGCGTCTCAAATAGAACCCATTTCTATTTTAGCACTTGGCTACACAGATACTCGTTCACGCACGAGCGGTGTGGGTGAAATGATTGAATAACGTGAATTTAAAAAAAGGTGCAATGCTCGCAAGTGAGGTTTGCATGGGCTACACAGTATTCATCACAGAATAAGCTATCCAATCATTTCAGATACTGCAGAAAGGCTATAACGAGACTCTTTGTTATGAAGTTATGAAATCAGAATACATGTTACGTTAACCAAGACACATTAAACCAATCATATTCACTCTTTCAAACATTAACTTCAGCGCTGCACAGGTGCGTGAATCGTCTTTCTTTGTCTTTTTAGTGAAATAAACTTTGTGGTTCCTTTAACGTTGTGGTTTCTTTAATGTTGTGGTTTCTTTAACATAAGAGGTCGGAGGATGATGATGCTCTGCATGAATCTCAAAAATAACTCTTAATAGGCATGACACACCCATTTGTGTACACTGAGTCAAAACCATACTTTCAGTTGGTATCTGGTAGACTGGGACAGTAGGTTAGATAAACTGGGACCAGTACATGGTATGCACATTTACATCACAATTTGGCACAGTGCATTATTTATGACAGTTTAACATCAAAACAGAAGAAAAGCTATGTCACTGATCTAACTGTCTGCTTCACGGGGTGAGCTTCCTGTTTGAAGCTTGCCCTAATCCCCTCTATGATGTCACACCAATGAAGTGATGTGATTTTGATCACATGATTTCTCTGCAAGGGCTTATTAACAATAGTTTTGATTTTCTCTGGTCAGACCAAGAAGTAAATGTGTCAGGATTACGCTGTTCCAGTTTATATGATGTCCCACTCTTTATGAATTCACCCTACGTCAAGCCAAAGCTCTCAACTGTGTCAGCCTGCTCTTTGTTTCTATTCAGTTCGACTCGCCACAAATTCAGTGTCTGAACTTTGCATAAGTTAATTGAGATGAAGGTTGGGCTGTGTTGGGAGAATAAATTGAGAGATCTGTCATTCATTCACTGATTGATTTGTTCAAGAGAGATCTCAAGAAAACAGCCGTTTTGAAGATGCTTTGGTGCTGAACATGGTCCTTTAGGGCTCTATTCAATCAGATCCGCTTTAGCTGACGTCCACATAGCAGTTGTTTTGGCAGTTGTTTTGGCAGTTGTTTTGGCAGTTGTTTTGGCAGTTGTTTTGGCAGTTGTTTTGGCGGTGTTGGAACTACATTAGAGCTGTCAAATCTCTCAATTTGAGCTGAATTATTTCTACATAGCCACACTTTCTCATTCTGAACTTCTAATGCGAGTGGAGCTTGTGTGGCTTCTTGACAGTGATTGCAAGAGCAACTGCTCACCGATTTGACGGATCCAATGCAGTTCCACCTCCAACACTGCCAAGAAATCCACTATGCGGCTGTCTGCTATCCCCGGGTTAACGCTTGATCAATTAACATTTGCACGCAAAGCATCAACTTTAATGTCTTACAGAATGGACAAACCAAGTATAAATGAAACGCTGGTGTGTGTGTAGTTCCCCTTGGGAAGCTGACTTCTTAACACTGGCATGTCGGAGAAAGAAAGCAGATAAGAGGTGGTATGGATGTTATATGACCGGTTGCCTCTGCGTTGTGTTTTGATCAGCAAAAAGATGACGAGAGGATCAGGGTTGGTATGAGGTTTTATTTTCTGATAATGGAAATACTTCCGTAAAAAAAATGCTGTGCTGCCCTTTTACGCCAACTCCTCTTCCGCATGGATACAGTAGAAAGGGCCCAATACAACAATCATCTTCTTTCACATAACAGAATATTAAAAGGTAAATGCAATGGACAGTATGAAATAGAAATGTACAGTATAGCCCAGTGTTTCCCAACCATGGTCCTCGAGTACCCCCAACACTACACATTTTCATTGTAACCATGGACAAGCACACATGATTCAACTTGTCAACTAATCATCAAGCCCTCAATGAGTATGGGCACAGGCTTGCCAATTTTCTCAATGATTGCCAGGCGTTATGCACAGTGACATGATGTGTACTTACGAACAACTAACAGTCAGTAAAATTTCGTCCAAATATCTTAACAAACAAAAAAACATGACATACCTGATAATGACAGGAAAGACTTCCAGAAACAAAATGGTGTGCTGCCCTTATTCACCAACTCCTCTAAAGTACAAATGAACAACGAAAGGGGTCATGAATAGCCATGCTAGCCCAATGACGACATGTACAGAGAAAAGTACAGAAACTAGCTAGCATGTACAGCATTCACAAATCAACAGATAAAAAGTTCATAAATGACTTAAATGCATACATATCACAATATAATGGTAGGAGACCATTATAATAAATGGTCAGTGACCATACTAACTCATTATACTGTAAGTGTAACATATAGGGTTGATTATGATTTCATGGGGCAATTTTACAGTAACAATGCAAATAGTCCGGGTGGCCATTTGATTAATTGTTCAGCAGTCTTGTGGCTTGGGGGTAGAAGCTGTTAAGGAGCCTTTTGGACCTAGCCATGGTGCTCTGGTACCACTTGCTGGTGAGGTAGCAGAGAGAACAGTCTATGACTTGGGTGACTAGAGTCTTTGACAATTTTTTGGGCCTTCCTCTGACACAGTGCTACAGAGCCAGACGAGGGTAACAGGTTGACACAGTGCTACAGAGCCAGACGAGGATAACACATCGACACAGTGCTACAGAGCCAGATGAGGGTAACAGGTTGACACAGTGCTACAGAGCCAGACGAGGGTAACAGGTTGACACAGTGCTACAGAGCCAGACGAGGATAACACATCGACACAGTGCTACAGAGCCAGATGAGGGTAACAGGTTGACACAGTGCTACAGAGCCAGACGAGGGTAACAGGTTGACACAGTGCTACAGAGCCAGATGAGGGTAATGGGTTGACACAGTGCTACAGAGCCAGATGAGGGTAACAGGTTGACACAGTGCTACAGAGCCAGACGAGGGTAACAGGTTGACACAGTGCTACAGAGCCAGACGAGGGTAACGGGTTGACACAGTGCTACAGAGCCAGACGAGGGTAACGGGTTGACACAGTGCTACAGAGCCAGACGAGGGTAACAGGTTGACACAGTGCTACAGAGCCAGACGAGGGTAACGGGTTGACACAGTGCTACAGAGCCAGACGAGGGTAACGGGTTGACACAGTGCTACAGAGCCAGACGAGGGTAACAGGTTGACAAAGTGCTACAGAGCCAGACGAGGGTAACAGGTTGACACAGTGCTACAGAGCCAGACGAGGGTAACGGGTTGACACAGTGCTACAGAGCCAGACGAGGGTAACAGGTTTAGTCCAGGCCTCTCTTTATTTTCCCTGCTGTTTATGGACAATCAGGGTGATGTTTGTTGATGTACAGTATTAGGACTTTGATTCGCATGGTTTTATTCCGGTCACATTTTCCTCTCTGTTTGGCCTATGCAGCTCTGTGTGCCTGGGATTCTCTCAATCTGTCTTCAGACAGAGGGTGGTGTCGCTCTCAGAGGGAGTTTTCAAGCAATGTAATAAGAGTGTTCTACTTTAATGGGTGAACTGTTCACTGTGTTCAACATGTATTTTATTTTAGTAAGACATCCTTGGCGGACCATATTGTATGTGGTGTGCCAGTTAGCTAATGCTAATGCTAGGCTAATTGTTTATAGCTTAGTGGCTAATTCTATTTCAGTAGCTGCATGACCTCTCTTTAGCTAGCTATGTAGGTCTCCAGACAAATAGATGCAAAACACTCGCCACTTTACATGCCCTATGTAAGTATGATACGGTCAGTTTAAAATAAGTAAACTAGGTCACTAGCCACCTAAAAAACATGCCCCTGTTGACACTGTATGTAAAATAACCTCATCAACAAGACCTTGGGGTGGTAAACTGAGAGAGCCATTATTCATTCCATGATTGAGTTATTCAAGAGAAATCTCCAGAAAACAGATGTTTGAAGATGGATGATCATGTCTTTGCAGCAATAAGTGGACCCATTTCTTTTTCTGCTATAGTACTGAACATTGTCTTTGCCTTTTGTCTCCTGTGTCCTCCAAGTGTGCAGGGGGTGAACCTTCAGCAGCCTCTACAAGTCCTCCTGGTTTCTACAGTGGTGTTTAGTTTTATCCACCAAACAACGATAATGTTCTTTGTTTGTCAAGTTGCCATCACTCCTTTTGTCTATGGACTTTATTTGACCCTGAAGCAATTGTTCTACTTCACCAATGTGGTCAACCTGTCTTCAGTGACCTGGATCAGCATCCTGTACTACATCAACATTGTGCCAAACAACGGACAACTTTTCATCTGGATAAAGAGACACATCAAGAACGTGGTGTACTTTGGTCTCGTTGCGGACAGGGGTATTGTTCTAACTGCAGGGGTATTGGACTATGTGTCAACACTCAGGCCAGAAGAACAACCCTTGAATTCGTCGTCCTCTTTCAACGTCACTGCAGAATTTGGGAGCGATAGGGATGTATTTTTCTATCTGGGGAAAATATGCACCGCAATATATTTATTTCATCTCCTCATCTCCTTTGGGACTATGATTCTGTCTTGGAGCAGCACCTACATTTACCTGCGAAGGCACATGAAGAGGATGGAGGAGAGTAGCAGTTCTTTCTCCCAGCCCCAGCTACAGAGCCAGATGAGGGTCACTGTAACAGGTTTAGTCCAGGCAGCGCTGTTTGTCCCCTACTGTCTGTTAATAATTACTCTGGTGGTAACTCACAGTCTGCCAGGTTATAATAACTTTGATCCCAATGATAACATCCAGACTACAGTTTCCTCTCTGTTTGGCCTATGCAGCTCTGTGTGCCTGGGATTCTCTCAATCTGTCTTCAGACAGAGGGTGGTGTCTCTCTCAGAGCGAGTTTTCAAGCAATGTAATAACCTTAATGGGTAAATGTTTTGTGTTCTATTTTAAGAATATAATTTCCATTACTCTAAGTGGCTGTTTCCCGGACACCGTTTAAGTCTACTACTAGACAAAAAAAAAAAAAAACATGTTCAATGGAGATTATACAGGACTATGCTTTATCAGTGTCCGGGAAATTAGCACTAAATAGTACATGAATTAACTTTCTCGGTAATTAATTGTGGTGATGGGTGCAAGTCACAGATGACTGTTTGTGTTAGCATTAGAACTAGCCCAGACCAATAAGGTACGTTTATTTTAGATAAGGCACATCTGGTGGTTTGCTTTATTGTATTAAACTATGCAAAACTTAAAGTTGAGTTGAAGTGTAATTAATTAATGCCTCATTAATTTCATTTGATGTCAGGATTTGCATGAACTATTAGAGTTTGTCTTGGTAAATGAGTATGTAAATACTGTAAGTTAGACTTAGGACTCAATTCCACCAGGTTTCAGTCATAAAGTTGGACTCTTTGAGAGCAAAGTGAGAGAAAGACACAGAGCGAGAGAGAGAGATGGAGCCCCACATCAAGATATTGTTGAATGGGTCCATCATCGGTCTTCTGGTGAAGGTCTTCTATCTCCTCTGCATGCTGGCACCTGGGAAGGACCCAGAGAGAGCTCTGAGTCAGCCCGTGAAACTGCTATTTTTCTTAGAAGTGGGATACAGTACGGCGCTTCAAATGTCTGTGCTTGTGATACTCTTTGCGGAGTGGTACTACAACATTCTGGACTATTTGGTGAGGTTGGTCATGCTGGCTTGCATGTCCTCATTCGTATGGCTCAGTGTCTTCTACTACACCAAGATCGTCCCAAACCAGCGACCGCTCTTCATCTGGTTGAGGAGGAACATCAGTGCAGTTGTCGACGGTGGCCTTATTGTTGACACGCTCTACCTTAGTACAAAATGTGTACTTTTCGTAGGTTATGAGTATGTTGACTCCACCCACAGCTTGAACAAATACACAGTCTATACGTTTATATAAATTGAACTATTTTTCACAGACACACACACACCCTGACATTCTGGCTAATGAGCTATGGTTCAAATAACGGCTCCTGTTAACTTTAACAAAGTCTGCGTGGAGTTGCTTAGCACAAATCTATTTCACATAAGGTTGAAGTCATCTAATTTCAGGGACATGTTGAAAATGTGCTAAAACTAATTACAAAGAATAATATAACCATAATATATGTAATGTAACTACTTTTTGAGCTCTGACAGAAATGCAGTATGGTTTCAATAAAGAAATCATGAAATACTCATGTACTTTTCTTCCGTGCTTTTGAAAATAAATACATTTGACTTCATATCTATGAAAAACATGCAACTGGGAAACTTTCATGGAAGTAGGTCCCCTTATTGAATCTAAAACTAGTTACAGTTTATCAAGGAATCTAGATGAGATACACTGTGACTTCACATGAGAAATGACAGTAGACGGAGAATGAGGTCTACAGTAGATCCCTTATCTGGGATAGATGAAAACAAAGGACAACACAGCAGAAGCCTCTGTAGTGCGAAATGTGTGTGTGTGTGTGTGTGTGTGTGTGTGTGTGTGGTGTGTGTGTGTGTGTGTGTGTTTGGTGTGTGTGTGTGTGTGTGTGTGTGCTTGCGTGTGTGTGAACAAACACACAGACATAGTATGGGATTCACTGCGGGTGGTATCTCTTGATTAAGAATTGATATGTTTGCTTTATAACGAAAACTTTGGAAAGCTGATCATGGGAACCCATGCCCACACTGTTACCGTTGATGGCACATTAACATATCACGGAAACGTCTGAATCTGCACTTAAAGAAATTGAAAGTTTTACATAATACATTAGCACACACATCAATTATTTAAATAATAGATTTAAGGTATTCTAACACAACAGAACATATCAAGGAAATTGCACTGTAGAAAAAGTGTTGAGACCATCAAATATATTCAAACTAAATTGAAAAAAGTAGCACTTTCTGAGAGGGAAAAGCACTCCACACACTGCGGTAGCAGCATAACATGAGAAATACTTATTTGAGATAAGAAATAAAAAATATTGCTGATGGAAAGCCACAGAAGAGTCTCAGGCAGAAATAACTGATTGTAATGTATGCCATAAAGTTTGGCACAATCACAACGATTTCAGCCGATTGGTGCCTGTACACATATAATAACTCTTAACTACAAATATCCTGCCGTTAATTTACAATTCATGTAACTAATATATTCAGCGTTGTAGATGGGTGAGAAACATGTAATTAAATACCTTTTCAGGTGCGTGCTTGCGTGTTTGTGTGTGTGTGTGTGCGTGAAATCCTCTGAGATAGCCAATCAGAGGTCTGTCTGGGCCTGCCTGTCCATGGGAATGTAGCACTGGATGTTTTCAGTCATTACAATAAACAAGCATCCATCTAACGGATGAGGAGACTGCACTAATGATACAGCTGAGGCAAAATTATACAGCCAAAAACCTGAACGTTTGGTTGGATAATCAAGTGTATTGGTATATTGACATAAACAGCAGAGTGATACCTACTCTGACAAAAATAATTCAGACAAAACATATTACAACAGGCTACGACAACTACCAAATCAACAGACAGAAAGGGACAAAATCCTTTAAACATGTCTATTGAAAAGTTATGTGAAAGTTCAAGTATGTTAAAATAAATCCATAGTCAGAACTGCATCCGATATATTTCCAATTCATGAAATTAAATAATAAAAAATGAGTGCCTGCAGCAGACTATCAAGGGGCATTTAAAAAAGGAAACCATGCAAATAGATAGTCCTTTTAGTACACTCAGAAAATACATCTATATGGTGTTTTATGCATACACTAAATTTCACTAAATGTGTGACCAAATTGAAATGACACTGTAATGCACAGGATAGGCTACAGGGCTGCTTGCCATACATCAGGGGTACCAGCTGCTTCTCTTGTTCATCTGGGCCTAATTGTTTTGGGTGTTTTAAAATCGCATCTGATTAAAGCTGGAAGACATTAAAGCAGGGAAGATTGCAGGGCTATTCATCAAGTTGAAGTTCAGCATCATTGCATTGTTTATCATTTTCAATAGGTTCATTTGACTTGAATAAAAAAGGCTTTTACTAGGGATGGAAAGAGGCTCAGTGATATTGAAGTGGGAAAGTAATTATACCTTGGGTCATAATTTCATATTCTGTCGTTGTCAGACATGCATATAAATGTACTTATAGAGGCCAAGAAAGGAAAGAGATGGTTATGTTTATGTATTGAGAGAGAGAGAGAGAGAGAGGAGTAGAGAGAGAGAGAGGAGCGAGAGCGAGGCGCGGGGGAGAAAGAGAGAGAGAGCGAGAGAGCAGATAGAGAGAGAGAGAGAGAGATTCTCCTCTATAGATCAGAGAGAATCTAGATAAGATCTCTATAGAACGATCGAGATCTAGCGATAGTATACAGAGAGATAGCTAGAGAGAGATATAGAGAGAGATGAGAGAGAGAGACAAAGAGAGAGGAGGAGTGGGAGAAAGAGGAGATGGAGGAGGGAGAGGAGGGAGGGAGCGAGACCGCAGCGGAGGGAGGGAGGAGAGGGAGAGGGAGGGAGAGAGGGGGTACTAAAACTAAATGCATGCTTTTCAATCGAACGCTGCTAGCACCCGCCCACCCGACTAGAATCACCACTCTCGACGGGTCTGACCTAGAGTATGTGGACAACTACAAATATCTAGGTGTCTGGTTAGACTGTAAACTCAACTTCCAGACTCACATAAAGAATCTCCAATCCAAAGTTAAATCTAGAATCGGCTTCCTATTTCGCAACAAAGCCTCCTTCACTCATGCTGCCAAACATGCCCTCGTAAAACTGACTATCCTACCGATCCTTGACTTCGGCGATGTCATTTACAAAATAGCCTCCAACACTCTACTCAGCAAATTGGATGTAGTCTATCACAGTGCCATCCGTTTTGTCTCCAAAGCCCCATACACTACCCACCACTGTGACCTGTACGCTCTTGTTGGCTGGTCCTCACTACATGTTCGTCGTCAAACCCACTGGCTCCAGGCCATCTATAAATCACTGCTAGGCAAATCCCCGCCTTATCTTAGCTCATTGGTCACCATAGCAGCACCCACCCGCAGTCTGCGCTCCAGCAGGTATATCTCACTGGTCATTCCCAAAGCCAACACCTCCTTTGGCCGCCATTCCTTCCAGTTCTCTGCTGCCAATGACTGGAACGAATTGCAAAAATCTCTGAAGCTGGAGACTCTTACCTCCCCCAATAACTTTAAGCATCAGTTGTCAGAGCACCTTACCGATCACTGCACCTGTACACAGCCCATCTGAAATTAGCCCACCCAACTACCTCATCCCTATATTGTTATTTAATTTGCTCTTTTGCACCCCAGTATCTCTATTTGCACATAATCTCTTGCACATCTAGCATTCCAGTGTTAATACTATTGTAATTATTCTGCACTATAGCCTATTTATTGCCTTACCTCCATAACTTGCTACATTTGCACACACTGTATATATATTTTCTGTTGTATTTCTGACTTTATGTTTTTTTTTTACCCCATATGTAACTCTGTGTTGTTTTTATTGCACTACTTTGCTTTATCTTGGCCAGGTCGCAGTTGTAAATGAGAACCTGTTCTCAACTGGCTTACCTGGTTAAATAAAGGTGAAATAAAAAATAAATAAAAAAAAAGAGAGAGAGAGAGGGAGAGGGAGAGAGAGGGAGAGAGGGGGAGAGGGAGAGGGAGAGAGAGAGGGAGAGAGAGAAAGAGAAAGCATGAGAAAGAAAGAGAGAGAGATGAAGAGATTTTCAAAAGACTAATCAAAACTTTGTGACCAATTTTGTGTGTCATCTTTGCAATAATATTACTCACATGGTTGCCAAGTGAAGTGTAACAGTTGATGAATATAGTGGACATACATACTAGTCCATACATACTAGGCCATACCTACTAGTCCATACATACTAGGCCATACATGCTAGTCCATACATACTAGTCCATACATACTAGGCCATACATACTAGTCCATACATACTAGTCCACACATACTAGGCCTTAGATGCTAGGCCATACATGCTAGTCCATACATTCTAGTCCATACATGCTAGTCCATACATGCTAGTCCATACATGCTAGACCATACATTCTAGTCCATACATTCTAGTCCATACATTCTAGTCCATACATGCTAGTCCATACATTCTAGTCCATACATTCTAGTCCATACATGCTAGTCCATACAGTACATTCTAGTCCAAACATGCTAGTCCATACAACAACCAAGTGCTCTTGTCAACACAATGTGCATAGGCCTCAATACCTCTCTAGGCCCTCCACATGTGTCCCTACCCCTGTTGAAAATGTGACAACTTGACAAAGTGACGTCCATCGTCACCAGAGGGGAAACACTTCACTTCTGCTCAGGCAGGTATTTTTAGACGAGGAGATCAGCACGCTGCTAGAGGAGAGAGCAAAGACAGAAAAGGTTTCACTGCATGTGGCACGAAACCGACGGTTTGGATGTTTAGACTAACTTAGAATCATATCAACTAAAAGTATGAAGCATTTCTCTGGTCTATGAATCACCTGACAGAAAAGTCTGTTTGAAAACTAAATTCAAGGTTAATTTGAATAAAGGTTTGTTGAAACACATAATGTGAGAAACAGATTGAGATTAGAATGTGTTTGCCTAATGGCAAACTAAACTTTCAGTTGTGACTACATGCACATAGTGTACGACAATGTCTTGTTCCGTATTGCTGTATTGATATCTTATACACATCATTTGTACATCTCTGTAGTGTCCATGCATCAATGTTTGATAGTGTTTGCTTTATCTTGTGTCAAAATTGCAAAGAAACATGATGCATACGTTTAGATTTGTTTTATTAAATGCACTGATGGATTTCACACTATTCATGATCTCTTATTGATTCTCTATATATGTCTCCTCAATCCTTGCCAAATCCCCTCTGGAATAAGGTCAAATAATGTAAGATATGTAAGACGGCACATGATATGCTGCCATAGGCTTTTGATTCAGTTATTTGATATCAGAGAATGGCATTGGGCCAAATTGATCTATTATAGATATTCCAGTGCCACTCAGTAGACTTCCATTTCTCATACCACTTTCTGGCATTGTATTTATCATGATCATCTGGGAATTTTAAACATTTGGATTAAAGTTATCCAAACTCACTAAGGAACTCCGACCTCACACTTAGATTTTGCAGCAAAAATACACTTTACATCAAAATAACTGAAAAACGAAATACTGCATAGTAAGTGAAATACTGCATAGTAAGTGAAACTTTGCGGAGCTACCATATTCTATCTCAATCACATCATGTTGCTTGCTTAGCGACTACCGCTTCCTCCAAATTTAGCTCACACCAAGGTTCGAACCCAGGACCTTTGCCTCCCGAAATGTCTTACCAGCTATTCGGAGGCACAAATGGGGACACTTCAGGCTGAGTTTCATAAATCCCCATGTGCTACATTCACCCCCCCAAGCTTACTCCACAGCAACCCCAGTGTTGGGCTGAGCGGGTTACAGCACCATTTGTAACTGCCGTCACGCTGCTTGCTTAGCGAGTACCGCTTCCTCCTGATTCAGCTCACACCGAAGACCTCTGCCTTGCTAGCACACGTGACCGCCCTCCCGAAGCGTCTTACCAGTCGGCGCCACCTACAAGCTAGCTATTCGACGGCGCAAGTGTGGACACTTCATTCAGGCTGAGGAATGAGTCACACACATCCCCATGTGCTACATCAGCGCAGTCCCAACCCGGTGGGCACAAACTGGTTGAATAAACGTTGTTTCAACGTAATTTGTCAATGTATTGTGACGCAGAATCTACGTGGAAAATACATTGGATTTGTTAAAAAAGTCATCAACTGTTGTTTTGAGGGTGTAATTTCAACCACAGGATTATGTCATCATGGCAACCAAATTTCAACATAGACAAACCTTGTATAAAATATGTTGAATTTGTACCTTTAAAACAACGTCAGATCTTCAACATTATATCAACTATCAGGAGATTTTTAAAAAACAATAGGCTGGGCACCACCTCCTACTGGAGAATTGATCTGTCTATAGCTAATCTTTGGTCTCCCATCCAGGGTTGTAATGAAGCCCAGCTCTGCTTAGCTGTGATATTTGTCACTGACTATTACCAATGCGCTATCGTGCAAATGATTGTTGAGAAATCTCTACTTAAACACCTTATAAATTCACTGTTGCTATCGAAGTCATTCTAAAGGGTAGGTTTAATAACAGAGCAAATTAAATGCAACCATACTTTATCACTCATATATGATCAATGATGCTATTTGGGCCTACAGTAAATAGCATTTGCAAAATCATCAACAGCTGTTGTTTTAATTCAACCCAGAATTCAACTAGAAAATATACA